GATGATGATGATGATGATGATGATGATGATGATGATGATGATGATGATGATGAGTAGGAGGAGGAGGGGAGGAGGAGGAGGAGGAGGAATTTATGTTCTCTTGTTCCTGTGAAGTCTAAGACGAGTAATAAGACAATTTTGTAAGTACAGGTAGTAAACGTATTAAATCATAATCTCGAAGACTCCTTAAATGTCAATGCGTTGGTAAAATGATGATGAGAATGATAAAATCCACCAGATATAGGCTTATGGCAAAAACCAGAAAAGTACAACTTCAAGACCCTTGTTCGAGGAATGTTTAAACAGGCGTTTAATGTCTCAAAGTGTAATAAAAACCATTTCAATTTTCTAGGAGGAGAAGCAAGGGGAGGATAGGTGCCATCTGTATCCATCTCGTTAAGATAGTATCAAGTACACTTAACCCCCCCCCCAATAGTATAAAATAGGCTTTTCTATCATGGTATTGTATTATCGAAGACTCTCGGATTGTGTGTTCAGTGTAACTATTACTAACAGTCTCTCGGCTTGATTATTCTCGATTGTTTTTTAATATGCCCTATTATCTGCTCTCTTTGGGGTTGTTGTTGTTGTTGGGGGTTTTTTCATACTCTATAGGAGACCATTATATTTCAAATGAGCACGATAGAATCCTAAAGGGCAGAATAACTTCATTACAGACGTAATGACTATTGCGGGAGCGATCGAATCCATCTACCCAGCCAACCCAAAAGGCTTCAAGTCGTACTATCAGGAGATGTTCACAGACCTCATAGAGTCGGCAAACCAGATAGTTGTTACGTGGTTGGCTCGACTGTTTTGGAAAGTCTCCAAGACCCAACCTGAGGTAAGTGCTAAAATGCAGCTTTAGAAAAGATTCTTTTTGTACCTAATTGATGAACGGTCAGAACATCACAGTCGAGGAATGAAGTAAACAGCGTTGTTAAATCGGTGTTGGGAACTGAAGGACATGAAAGCAAAAAGGTCGGCGTAGCAGGTTTAAGAAACTATTTTAATGTTAAAGAATTAAATTGTGTTCTTGCACGATATAGATATATGCGTATTACTGTGCCAGTCAATAAGAAACTCATCATATGTGTCTATAGTAGCTTGCACTTTCCAGTTTGCAGTGACATTTCTACTATCTCGGGATACATTATGAAAGCAATAAAAGAAAGTGCTTTTAAAAGCACTTACACTTTCTTAAAGTAACTCATGTTGACCAAAGTAAAGAATGCTGTTTTCAAACTTACTTTCAAAAGTGTGTTCACTGGGGGCTAAACCTCGTATTTATGTTTTATTATGCTATGGGTAGGCCGTACTTTGTTAAAGCTAGCATGACATAGTTGTTCTTTTACCATATCATTGCATGTTTATGAGCGACACCATTATGAGTGACAATTTGATCTTAGCATAAAGTAGAAATTCTCCTTCAGTACTTTAAAAAAATTTAGACGTCAGTTCTGACTTCAGATTTTCTCATTACTTTATTGATATCTGAACTTCAACAGTTGTTTTCTGAGGAAGACCTAGAAAAGTTACTCAGCAAAGCAAGGGAAGACCAAAGCAATCAACCGATCCTGCTGCAAATGATTCAGGAACTTTGTAAACGACGACCGTCTGCCATGATCAAACACATTGACAAGATTTTTGACGAGTCTGGGTGGCAGCCCGTGTTACTGTGCTGGATGAACGACATGATCAGTACTCTCGCTCTGCACGACCAAGTAAGGACTATGACACGTTGGCTACTTTCTTGATGTTCTCTAAATGATCCTGCATTACTTTGTTTGCAATCCATATGTTTTTGATATCCTTCTCGTCTTCATCAAAGTTTATGTTCGGTAATTATAAATATGGCATGGACTGTCAGCCAGAATTATTATACACCCCCCCCCCCAAAAAAAAAAAAAACCCAACCCCGCCGTACATCCATATATCACGTTCATTTGCGCTTGTGCATAGGATACACATAATCACACTCACACGCGTGCGCGCGCGCACGCACACACACACGCACGCACGCGCGCGCACATACACACACATAAAGACTTATTGGTGAACACCGTGGAAGTCCTGGTCGCCAATATCTTTTAAGGACAACTGTCACTAGGATCAAAGAAAAGAGATAATCAGGAGGAAATAGTCATGTGAGGTATAAAACTTCAGGAATATGATGCGATTGAAATATTATAGCCTCTCAAGTATTCACATACGTGTATTTATTATCAATCATAACACTGTCAAAACAGTTGTATAGGGCTTTACGAAATTGTTGGGGGGGGGGGGGGTTGGGGGGTTTGTTTGTTTCTTTTTGTTGTTGTTGCAAAAAATGAAAATCAATAATACTCGTATTTTGCTCATATTTGACAATACACTAATGTGCACTAATCCACTGTTCTGTGTTATTGTTCCAGAGTGTGGCGGACAAGTCGTTGACTTATTTATTACAAAGTGCCATGGCTCATCAGGACAAGGCAAACTTGCTCACATCATTAAATGCAATTCGGCTCATTGGTTTCAAATATCCGGACACACTGAAACTTAGACGGTCTGAAGTGGAGGGCCTTTCATGTGTGGATGCTGATGGGAAAAGCATTCAAACGACCATTCTGGATATGATTGATGGCAAGACGTAAGGATGGAATCATATTCTAGAAGGGAAAGTCAAAGTCATATTTAATTGCCATAATATATAGTCCACAAAGCAATTATATCTTGCAAAGGTGTGAAATGGTTTAGTTTAATTTTAGTTTAAGTAAGAGTTTGACGGCATTTGCAGCACAATTAGTTCATAAACATATCGAAGATTAGAGGTGAAATAGTAACATATAAAGAAAAGAAGGGGGGGGGGGGGGGGTAAGTAAACCACACCAAAGGAATCGCCAGCCACGCCAGCCACCCACTGAAATTGTTTGCTCGTATGTGAGAGGGTATTTAAAGGCACAGATTTTGATTATAATTCTTTCTTACCTGAGCACACTTTGAATGGTACCAAGGGCTCACTTAATTGTAAATGGTAACATGGCTGGCCAGTTTAATAATTTACTGCGTACTTTTCGTATACACTCTCTCAGTCAGCAGACATAAAAAGTGTCCATAAAAGTGAAATAACAAACTAATACATGTAATCATGTCAAAATTATTCTCGTGTTGTAAATGTATCATTGCCAAACAAACCTGCTCCGCTTCTTACAGACCTTCAGATCTTGCTCATCAGCTGGAGAGTCAACTACAAGAAGTGAGCGGTCTTGCCCTGAGGGTGGAGGACACAGAGGAAGCTGTCACTGAGGTTCACACTCAGTTAGATCGTCAGGGAGCGGATCTGGACAAAGTGAAAAATGATGTCACGGAACAGGGTCAAAGGTTGGATCATGTCGAGGAGACAGTAGACGAGACTGTGGCCAAAGTAGAGGTGATCGATCAGAAGGTATGAAATAACTGTGGAATTCTAGGTTTCTGGTATCAATCAGGTCAATGCTGATGTCTTGTCATGTTGACGTTTGTTTGTTTGTTTATTTGTTTGTTTGTTTGCTTGTCTTTTTAAAGCCGAAGCCCTTACTGAACACAACGAAATAATTACGGTATTTTCAAAAGCAAATAATTAAACAGTACTCAGTTCTTTCGTCAATACACCAAGAAACGAAAATATCCAAGCTCAAACAAGAAATTAAGGAATCAGTTCCCACCAAGATTGAATGTACCTGAAACTATGAAATTTTGCTGTCAAGTGTGTTATCAACAACACCCACTGCCACTAGCTAAGATGGTATGTCGATGTTTGTGAGTGCGGCAGGGGTTGCTGTCAGAGCTAATGCCCGTTTCTTAATCAGAATTGAAAACAAAAGTTTCTTTGTTTTGTTTTTGTTTTAATAGTCTAGAACAATTAACGTATGCCAAGATTTCTCTGCAGAGCTTCAAGTGATTTAGTAGTTGGGTTAGAATATGGAACATAATTTTTTTTAAGAATACAAGTGTACGTTGAAAGCAAAGTCACCCCAAGGCTGGGGGCACCTCAAGAATCTCTTAACTCAATACAACTCATTAGGTTTGTCTTGATATTGAAGCTAGTATGCTATTTTCCCCACGAATTAGTGGAATGACCATATTTGATATGCTTGTATCACTTATTTTGGGGTTCTATTTTCTTCATCTGCTCCGGGCTAAAAAGGAAATCTCACACCAACACAAATAATAGGAAACATATGGAGGGAGGGGGGGGGGTTGTTACCTTGAAGAAAGACTGAAAGGAAAATATGCTCATGAAATGCAAGTATGTTGTGAGCCTCAAACAATCCCAGTTAAGACATAATTTGGAACAATAAAAAATAAAGCATTTTTGCTCACACCCATTCACTAGTTAGGCTGTATTTCACAACCTGAAACAGGACTTGATCAGCAATGATAGCGTGCTGTCTTTCAGTTTTGATCTATAAAAAAAAAATCACTGAAAATTATGGCAAAACTTAAAATTATCATTTGAAATTCGGTTGGCCGGACGTAGACGCCGACAAAGTCAAAATATCCGTACCATTTGAAGTGTAGTGGCCCATAGTCATCGGAGAATGATTCAGGGAATCAAGAATCATACTTGAATTATACCCTTTTTCTCTCCCCCCCCCCTTTTCTCCCAGACGCTGAGCCACGCGCCATACTGGTCACGTGATGTGTCCAAGTTGTTGAACCCTGAGTCGGAGCACGACTGGCGTCTGCTAGGCTCTCGACTGGGCTATAGCAACGATGACATCAGAAGCTGGGCCCAGCAGGCAGACCCCTGTATGGCAATGTTCAATGAATGGTGATTATATATTTTTCTGGCTCTCTCGAAACCAGGAACCTGGGTGGATTATGCCTGTTTTTTACGCCAAGAACAAATTAGGGTCATAGTGAAAGAATGGCAGGTGGTGCTATAAAGATTTAGTGATAAAATCATTCTTTGAATAAGCCAGGAGAGTGGTTTTCGTTTTTGTTTTTGCAATGGCAGGAATTATTTTGGAGGCGGACCTACAGAGAAACTCAAAGAAGTACGTTCTCCATGCAGGAATCGAACCCATATTTTTTATATGGGCGGTTGGCAGGGGTTCTGGTGTGGGTTTTTTCCTTCTTTTTTTTGTGTTTGTACTCTTTTGTAGCACCTCCAATCTTCGACACTTTTATGACCTAATTGTGTTACAAGTGCCGTGAAACTGACAAAAACTAAAAAAGTAACTGTTTTTTACATGCAACAGCGAATATCAAAAACCTAACCATTACAACACACACACACACACACACACACACACACACACACACACACACACACGCGCGCGCGCGCGCGCGCGCGCGCACTCACACACAAGGTTTGATTTTAACAATATTTATTTCAAAAAGCAACCATGCAATACCGAAACGTGTCTCAAATCTAACTTGTATTCTCCGAATGTTTTCAACACATTTTCTCAGATGCCATTTACAGTTCTAACTGTTTAATTTGAAATATTCCCAAAAACTGTTACAGCCTAGCAATCGTCTTTGGTGTTGTGCCGATGAAAATAAAACCAAACAACTAACTAAACAACATATCAACCAACCAACCAAACAACATTAAATATAAAAACAAACAAACAAACAAAAACCCAACAGCAACTGCGACGACATTATGTCTCAATGATGAAATGAAATCATGATTTTTCTCTATTGTTTGAGTTCAACGTCCTACTTTAGACCAACAGGTCCTTTCAAAGGCGGTACTTTGGGTACCGTAGGAAGTTGTAATAAAACGTATAAAAGAAGAAGGAAATATGTCACTACTATGCTGGAGATGTTTGGGGGGGGGGGGGGCTACACCCCCAAAATCAAAATTCGGCTCAAAATCATGCACTTTGTGGTTGAGACAGTGGACTATCAACTCTTCCCTGACGCTCAGGAGAAGACATCTGACATCACAGATATAAGATAATGATATTGAAACCATTTTCAAGAAGTAATATAACACGAAAAACGTTCATCTGTGTTCAGGTACGCCACTCGCAAAACAAGTGAGGCGACTTTTGCTATTCTGACACAACTGCAAGAAATGGACAGGATGGACGCAGCTATCGTTGTGGAAAACGCCATGAAAAATGCTGGTTGGTACTTTTTTTCAAATTGACGTATTTATACCGATCTACTGCTGCTGAATGAACGATGAGTTTGACAATCAGTCACCTAAACCAAAATAAGTCGTGTTTTTTGCTGGGGGGGGGGGGGGGGGGTAGTAAGTGTTTTACAGCGCTCGCAACTGCATACGGTTGTATGAGCGCGCGGGACACACCAAACATTTTTAACGGGACACACCAAACATTTTTAAGTTGGTAGGAAATTTTGAATTTTGCCCGGCTGGCGGCCGAAGCCTACTCTTATCGATTTTGGAACACCAAGGGATCTTTTACGTGCACAACTTGCACACGGGACCTCCAAGATTTTTTCACCCTTGTCTGAGAAGACTAGGTGTAGATCTTACCTACCATAAGATCAGGGATGTGGCTGAAAGACAGCAGTAAGGAGGAGCCAGGGAGAAGCAGTAGAAAAGCTATAGAAAGAGTCAGGAGCCCAGAGGAGGGGGCAAAGGAGGTTAGGGGGTGGGGGCTGAAAGTGGAGACGAATGCAGACGACAAAACATTGTTAGAGAGCAGGATAGGATGTGAAAGGAGAAAATTTTAGAGAAGAAAAATTTCTATCGCGACCCAGATTCGAACTCGGGACCATTGAATGAGAGGCGAACACCTTAAGCTCTAGGCCACGAGATTCCCCAAGTCGTGTTTAGATAACAATATACATGTAAATTCACTGGTCCTGCTTGCATTTTGAACCAAGATAACTGATAAAAACAGACAGACAGACAGACAGACAGACAGACAGACAGACAGACAGACAGACAGACAGACAGACAGACAGACAGACAGACAGACAAAAAAACCCTGACAACGGACAACAAACAAGCTGACAACGGACAACAAAGATACCTATAGGCTGATAGATAAATGGAAAGAAAAAAGGGGAGGGGCGCAGAAATATGCACATACCGATTTATAACAAAGACGATGAAAGTGTAAGTGTTTCCCATACACAATGTCTGGTGTGTCCACAGAGGCGGTGGTGGAAGACGAGGACTTTGAGTACGCCTCCCCTCCCCCCATCTTCATCAGTTACCAGTGGGGTCACCAGGAGGAAGTGAAACTGCTCAAACAGCACCTGGAGATGGCGGGCTATGAGTGCTGGCTGGACATCGGTCAGATGGGTGGAGGAGACAAACTGTTCGAAAAGATTGACAACGGTATTCGGGCCGCCAAGGTTGTCATCAGTTGTGTCACAGAAAAATACGCCAAATCACCAAACTGTAATAGGGAGGTGAGTAAAAATTATCCGAAATCCCCTTCTTGTTTAAGGTCATGGCCTATTTGTTGTCCCTTTAAATTACTCTGGAGATAATCAAAGGACCGTTCTTTTCTTTTAGGGTATAAAGGTCAAAATTCAGGAGTTCGAATACCTGTTAACAGGTAGGGAGTTACATTGTTACCATATGCTAATGCCTTTTTTTGCATAAAGCAGACCTAATAAAGCTGTACGTAATCTTACAATATCACACAATTCCTTCAGTATATTATATACATTTACATGTACTTTATAAGCAGCATTTACCCCTGAAAGTAAACTTTAAACAAGGTATCCTGCCACACAGCCCACAATCAGGTTGTGTTGACTGCCACGATTTCAAAACGAAAATGTGTATCTCAGTATTGTTTTTTTCTACTTCAAGATCTTTTCAACAGTACTTTCATTCCGTAGTGTGCTGGTAATGTTATACTCAAGTTTCATCTGTGTCACATGTGTGACCTCTCACACGGCTTCAGTGTCTAATACTGTGTTTACATCTTTCTAAATTAATGTATTCCAGGTGAACCTATCAGTGGGCTTGAACAAATCTCTGATCCCACTACTGATGGAGAAGTGCGTGTGGCCACCTCCTGGCTCCATGGGTCCCATCTTCTCCGAGTTCCTGTATATTCGTTTCTACCAACAGCCGGGAGAGGAACTAGATGACCAGCGCTACTGGCCAGGGGACAAGTTCCAGGAACTTCTAATGCAGCTCTCCACATTTGGTCTGACCCCCGACGAGGGAAAGATACAACCTGGTGAGTTGTGGCATGAATTATTAAGTTATTTAAGGGAATGTGAAGCAAGGACAAAACGGGAGTAAAACGGGGAGACGAGGCGCTGGTTCTTAGGTGTTTCATTTGCTTGTTTGGACAACAAAGTAATACTAAAGTGCTAGCTTAGAAATACACTTCGAATATTTACTTCAGGGCAGCTCTCCCTATTTATTGGTCTGCCCCTGGATGAGGGAGGGGGGATACAACCTGGTGAGTCAATGGGTCCTTTGTACTCTAGGTGTGTTTCTATGTAAGATTTCAACAAATAGAATCCTGTCCTTTTTGAGTTAAGAATGGCCAAGACTCAAAAGGCCCTGGAGGAGGGGGATTGCGTTGTGGACATAGAGGGGGAAAGGGGGGGGGGGGTGATTTGCGTGTATGTATCCAACATGTTTTCATCCGTTTGTCCGTTTCAGTAGTCAAGCACGTAATATCTTTGGCGTCTATTCTGTGTAAAACAAAACTCAAGTAATACAATGAGATCTGTTTGTTACGTTAATCATATAACTAGATCTATATGACTGAGTATAATGTGTTTCCCATTAGTGTACAGAAACTGGTGGATGCCAAAAGTAGAAGAAATCAAAATTGACAAGAGCAAGACACGTGACGGAGGCAACGGTTCTCAGAAGCAACAAGAAGAATTCGATAAACAGGTAACGTGAGAGTTGAAATAGTAGAACAAATAAATTTTTCCAGTTTCAAATATTTTTATTTTAAATGACAATACAAATATGAATGATAATATTACACCAAACACACGAACTTATGTCTGAGGATATTTAAGAAATGGGACGTAATTTTATAGACCCTAGCTTGTTTGGGCTAATATGGAGAGCAGAGTCGTTTCTATTCTTTTTGACCTTTATTTGTATTTTTGGTGTTTAAGAATATGGGCCACTGCATTTATAGCCAGTATATTTTACATACAGTTGCTGTAGTATTATTCCCTGTCCTTTCTCTCTTCATGAGCTGACTCCCCCCCCCCCCCTCTCCCTTTCCTATTGCTTCTCCCTAGGCCGCCGAGACCCCGGACGTGTTCATCTCCTACCAGTGGGGAAAACAGCCAAACATCATCAAGCTCTACGAACGACTCACGTCTCTGGGCTTCACCTGCTGGCTGGACATCAAACAGATGGGTGGTGGCGACTCCCTTTACGACAAGATTGACCGTGGTTTACGCGGCAGTAGAGTGGTCCTGTCGTGTGTGACCCAGAAATATTCTCTGTCCGCCAACTGCCGGAGAGAGGTCAGTCTGGCAGACGCGCTCAAGAAACCGCTGGTTCCGCTTCTCCTGGAGAAGATGACGTGGCCGCCAGCTGGACCAATGAGCATGGTCATGACGCAGCTGCTCTATATCGACTTCTCACAGGTACATGGAGGTTACATGCCCTTTAGAAAATCATATTTCGCTGAAAACGAGGTAGTGAGCACCTAAAAAAACTATCTGTCACATATATAAGGAAGTTAAAGGTTTGAACAGAAGTCGAAAAAGGTGTGTTCAGACCTCTGACATCAAACTAATGTTTCTTATATGAAAGACAGAGTGTTTTTTGAGCGCACCTACATACTCTCGTGTAGCTATACTTATCACAGCCAGTTTTTAAAAATAGAATTAAGGATTGTCTCTACAAAAAACAGTGAAGCTGACACCACAGTTACCTTACAGATGCCCTCTGAAATTGGCCTTTTCAACCATGGGACAAAACACAGTATGGACCAAAACTAAACATGTATCTAAATTAAACCACGGGCTTAGTGTTTTGGTTTCCCGTGGTTCTAAAACATTTGGATGCCATTTGACACCTCCGTGATATGCAATTCTCCAAAAATAGGCTGGATGCAATCAAGACCCGTAGAATGGTAGCATCTTCTTTAATACAAACTGCATTTGAATTTTAGGGTTTTTCAAACTTATTTTTCACTTTCCTTTTTTAAAATTTAGGATGATGCAGAGGAGAGTACGTGGACAGGTCCAAAATTCAGAGAACTGGAAGCCAAGATTAGAGAGCACGTGAAAGGGGCACCTTCAGACTTCAGTGGAGGTTCAAGTTCTTCAGATCAAGTAAATGATCAAGTTGCAGCAATAGTGACTACCCATCCAAAAGGTAGCCGTACTTCAACTTCAAGCAAATCTTCCGTGAAAATGACAACCTTTGAAGTGTCTTTCCCTGACTCAGGGTCATCATCTAAAGCGGCAAACAGCAATGAAGGTTCACAAAAGAATACTGGATCTGGTATGTTTGTATGTGGTGTCTTGTTTTCAGTGAACAATGTTTCAAACTAATCAAATTAAGTTACCGCTCCTTGTCAGTCGTCCATGATAATGCTGATGAAGAGGACAAGAAGAAAGAGGAGATGAAGCGAGGAGAGGAGGAGGGGCAGAGGAGAAGGAAGAAGAGGAGCAGAAAAAGGTGGTAGTGGTGGTGGTGGAGGGGTAGGATGATGATGATGATGATGATGATGATGATGATGATGATGATGATGATGATGATGATGATGATGTTGATTTTAAACAAAGATTTTCAGACAGCCCATTGGCAAAATTCAGCACTTGTACATAAGCTAAGTTTATGAACACTGTAAATCTAGAAAACAGATTTCGTTAGAAATGCGCTTCTGAAACGTGAGGGCAATGATGATTGCCAAGGTGTCAAAGTTTGAGTTTAAAAAATGGGTCATGTGTAGGTCAAGTACACGACGTGCTTAATTGATCTAAACTTCATGTGTCCCCACAGAAAATACGTCCGAATCATCTCTGGACAGTTCCCACTCGCGAGCTCAAGTCAAGACAAAAGCGGTCTTGGAGTTAGGCAAACCTGTCCGAAAGAAATCTTCCCTGCAGTCCCCAAATCCTGACAGCGGGGCGGTGGATTCCAGCAACGACTTGAGCATAGATACAGTGCCGTCAGCAAAGAGTCGGTCTGCTGCCAACGAGACAAACCCCGAAGAAAAGAGAAGGAGGATATCCACAATGAAAGACCCCTTACAAGAAACCTTAGCAAACCCACAGCCAAAACCATCTCCACAAACGGGGGATGGCGGGCAAGGAGGGAAGCCTTCAAAGACCAAGGCAGCTGCGGTTGGGAAACGCACATCAAAAGCTTGCGTGTTGATGTAGATCTCACTTGTGAGAATATTTTTTGTTGTACTTATTGGCACCTTAAAGCTAGAGAGATAGTAAAAACTACATTCTCAAAGAGAAAGGGAGGTAAAAGTTATGAAGAAAGTTGGGTCAATAATAATAAATAGTAAAAACAAAGGACCCAGAAAGGCATGGTTATGAGAAGCGTTCAATGTTGGGTTTTTTAAAATAGTTTTAGTGAGAGTTTTACAGCACTTGCAACACAATAAGGTCATATAAGTGCCGAAGATTAGAGGTGTTACAAGAGAGTAACAAACATAAAAAAGAATGAGGAGAGATAAGGACGATAGATGTTTGATGGGAAAGAAGGAGCAAACCACACCAGAGCATCCGCCAACCACCCACAATGTTATTTTTAAGGACTTGGCAACTTGGTCTTGCGGCCATTACAAACTTTACAAAAGTACAAACATGGTGTCCCAAGAGGAGCAATTGGATTTGGGAAATGCTCAAGTGTAAAGCTCGCCTATGTTTGTTTTATGTGTGTGTGTTTTTTTTGGGGGGGGTATGTGTCTTTTTAAACGTTCATAAAAACTCTTTAAAAATATTAAACAATTATAAAATCAGAAAATTACATTTCTACATCTTAACAAAATTGACCAGTCGAAGGTATTCGCCGCCTGTTAGCCTTATAATAATATGCAAGTTGAAAATCTCCCCCACGACTCTGATACGAAGACTTGGAACCAAAGTCATAAACGGAAATTGTTTGAGTAAGAAATTGCATATTGATGCCATTACACGACCATTTAGAGCAGGGGAAAAACCAGACAGCCAGGCAAACAGACAGACAGACAGACAGACAGAACAGAACAGAATGAAAGAAAAGAAGTAGGACCTACCAGTGGCGTCCTCCAACCACCCACATATTCGCGGAGTAACATCGATTTAATAAATTAATCCTTCGATTTGCTAAGATAGCAAGTGCATCGTAGCCACAACACAAGATGCGAGTGAGGGAAAGCCGAAAGCCTGGAAAAATAACAACAATAAAAGAACTACATGAGGGCAGGTGATAGCTCAATTGCCATTTCGGTTTAGTCAGTGCGACATATCGTCAGGCACATATATAGGACAAAATGACATGAATAGAAGTAAAAGGGTTAGATGTGTGTGTGTGTGTGTGTGTGTGTGTGTGTGTGTGTGTGTGTGTGTGTGTGTTTTGTGTGTGTGTGTGTGTGTGTGAGAGAGAGAGAGAGAGAGAGAGAGAGAGAGAGGGGGGGGGGAAGAGAGAGGAGAGAAAGAAAGAGAGAGAGAAAGAGAGAGAGAGAGAGTGAGAGAGAGAGCGAGAGAGAGAGAGAGAGAGAGGGGGGGGGAGAGAGAGAGCAATTAGCGCGCATGCATACACGTAGAGCTATGCGGACATACACAGAGAGTTGAAAGTCAATTAAAAGATGGATTGTTTTCTGTAACCTAGACTAGGTAGGCTCTTTAAACGGTAATGCTTTTGGTATTTCCCAAAGTGCGAATCACCTCAGGTGAACTGCTTTTTCCTGACCTCGTTTCTGATTGGGATGATCAATCAAGTAAACACTAAAATGTCATTTTGAAGGGAATCCAGTAAGTTCCTCTCACAAAACCCTAAACTCACACGACAATATAATTTCATAAAAGCAGAGCGATATTTGAATCAATTTAGGACAGTTTGTGTTGTATTGGTCTGTTTTATCCCTTGTGTAGATGACGCACGAGGGTATATAACGCCAAACCAGTGAAATAAAAAAATTTCAAGTTACTTTGGGTGAATAGAGTACCGTGGTCTGTGGTGCAGCAGTTAGGCCCTTCACTGTTGCAAGCTGGAGAACCGAGTTTAATTCCCAGTGAGAAGTTAATTTTTATTGAGTATCTCAGTCTTTCTGCTGGGATACTGTATCCTTTTCAGCCGGGGTTGGGCCTGATAGGTAGGGTTGGAAGTCCACCTCCTAAATGATCCAAGTTGTTTTCATTAAGAAAACACACAAAAAACGACAAAATTCATAACTTACTGCCACAGTAGGAACACTGACAAGGCGCAGGGGTGTGTAGGAGGGTTTGTGGGCGGCTGGGGGTGGGGGGCGAGAGGAGGAGGAGACAGAACTCCATGTTCCAAAACATGGCTCCTTAGGTTCTTTTGGCATTTTCATTTTCCCTTATCAGCATTTCAATAAAAGCCCCCTACCACCTTTGCTCATTGTGAACAATTTAAACATCATGTAATATTGAGCAGGAAAAATAACCAATATTTTGAAACCTTGTGCCCTGTGTTCCCATAAGATATATAATAGCAATAATGTTGACTTGTCATTAAATTACGTTAACAAAGTCTGCAACAGTGTAGCATCCCCCAACAGTCACATGCTCATTTAATGCAGAAAAAAGCCTTATTACGACATCCTTGTAAGAATGTCTCAAGATTCCACTTTGTCATCCCAAGACATGTCTGGTAGAATTCATACCTTTCTTAAAACTAAAACAAGTAAAATAAAAATAAAAAATAATTTCAAAATCTGTTTTAACTCCATTTTTCTTCCTATGAGTTGTCAAAAGTAGGAAATCTATAATTAAATAACAAGTCTGTATGTGAATGCTACACATTAAACACCAGCATAGGTGATGACTTATCACAATAATAACATTTATACAAGTAGTGACAAAATCAAACCCCTGAAAATGATAGTGAAAACAGTGGTGAAACAGACTTCAGACAAGAGTATAATAACGAACTGTTAGTTTATTTTAAAGGTCTCCAGTAAGACTGGCGGGTGAATCTTTCTTAACACAGCTGCAAACAAGTCACAAACACACAGTCATTCATCCACAACAGATCAGATAGATCAAAGAGCCTCATCATGTTTATATAATCCAACAATATCCAGTCTAGCTTAGCTAGCAAATTTGCATTAGTTGCGTTCTTGTTGATGACTTAAGACTGCAATGAGTACTTAAAATATGCTGAAAAACTCTTTTTTGTGAACAAAGTAATTTGTATGCTTGTATATAACCTTAGAAAAAAAATTACATAAAGGGTAAAAACCATTCCAATGTATGTATGTGACTGCACAAAAGAGATTAAGTTCATATATTTATACCAGCATAGCTTTTAAATCTAGTAGATTTTTTTAAAATCCAGCATCCTATGTTCCTCATAAACAGAATAGGTTTATAAAGAAATTATGTTATGCATGTGAGTGTGAGGCATAGACTGTGATTACTGAAGGGCTTAATCTAGTAAAAATATTGTCCACAAAATGTAATAATCATGTATGAAAGAGAGAGGAGAGAGAGCGGAGAGTGAGGGAAAGAGAGAGAGAGGAGAGTGAGAGAAAGAGAGAGAGAGAGAGAGAGAGAGAGAGAGAGAGAGAGAGAGAGAGAGAGAGAGAGAGAGAGAGAGAGGGGGGGGAGAGGGAAAGAGAGAGATAGAGAGAGTGTGTTCATAAGTGTGTGTGTGTGTGTGTTAGTTTTTATATACGTGCATTTCTAAAAAAAGTGAGTTGGTAAACAACTCTGTGATTGTTACCCTCATTTTCAACTGTGTGTGAGAGCAATAAAGTCTGTTAGAGTTTTACAAAGTGTGACTAACTTTTATTTTTTCTACACTGTGATACCAGATTGTGACCAACAGCTCAATGTGTGGCAGCAGTGGAATCTGGACATTTATAGAAAGTGACAAAGGCAGATTCACTGTTGTACAGGAACAGCATTGCCTTTGTACCAGCATACTTTTCCTGGTACAATATTGGGAGGAGAACTGGAAATACATTCCCTGGGTGCAGACAAGCACAAGCACACAAAATGGAGGCAACTGTATTATAATTTATGAGAAAGCATTCTTTTCCCTTAACAAACGTAAATTTTTCCATATTAGGACAAAAACCTCATTTTTGATCTACAGACTGATGAGAGACTTTAGTTGTCCTACTTAAGGCCATTTAATAAAGTTGGACCACATAGCCTACGTAGCCTACATTGAACTGGCTGTTTTCTGAATATCTCGCTTTAAAAGGTTTCCAACAAAATATGCAACCTCAAAACCAAACAAATTGTTATAAAACTAGGCAAAATGAATGTATAGATCCCTGCGGAATAAATTGATCGTGTTCTTTCACTAGCTTTTTAAAATACAAAATGTAAAACATAACATAACATCAACATACACATATTCAGAATTTCAGAAAATAAAATCATTAACATGGCTTAATGTTTTCCACATTTACTACTTTTAGTTCTTTGTCAGACCATCTTCTTGACATCAAAACAAGTCTCTCACTTTTAATGGATTTTTTTTTTTTAAGTTAAATTTTGGATTTTGGCACACTCAGGGTAATATTAGTGGTTGGGGTGTAGCAATCAATATACGTGTAATTCAGTCTTCATATTCAAAGCCTAGGTGTCAAAACAATACTGCACTGAAAGTGAAAGACACAGACAGCAGCAATGCCAATGAGCAGAAAAGCATGCACAGACAATCAGTCTGCAAAAATAACTTAAAATTCGTCAAAAGAAAAACTTTAAAAAAACATACATTGAAGGAAAATCTGGGTATCATTTAAATGTCAGAATATAAGAAAATGTTCACTTATTCAGTAATCCTAACTTTCTATCAACGGGATATAAGACGTCCATTTCCAAATCTTTGCCATATCATTTTACCAGTAAAAGAATATGGGGGTGCTGGTACACAACCTGTACAAGCTACCTAGACATTTCAAGCTTCAAAAGATACGATAGTTTAAAGTCTCTTTCTTCCGTCTTTTAACACTTTGCGGCCTCATCTCACTAATTGGCGATGTTTACCACCCAGTTTCTTTGGATTTTCCACAAAATATGATGGCCAAGTGTTAAAAAACATTCCCCTTTTAGCATCCATACCGTTTAAGTTTAAGCTAGCTTGGCCCTAAATTTGTATAGTAGCATAAATGGCTACAACAGTGAGCAGCAAGCACACATATATGCAAGAGTTTACTTAGCAATAGCTGTCTTTTTTGCCATGAGAATCAAGAAAGAATACCAGATGCAACAGTTTGTCTCTTCTAGTAAAGAAAAGCACATTGACACAATAATAGTCATTTCGTGCGGAGAAAAAGTGAGAATGACAGACAAAATCAACAGAGGAAAATTAAAGAAGTAAGACCTACCAGTGGCGCTCTCCAACCACCTGCAGAGGCAACAGTTCCCGCTCTATTCTTATTCATTGTAAGGAGAGGAAGTGTAGAAAGAAGCATGTGTGGGAAACTCACTAATATAAACAATTAGGAGACTGAAGGTGTTTTACGCCCCCAACAACACAATTAATGCAGTTTGCATCAACATAGAGGCTTTAAACATCTTACCCTTTGTGGAAAAATAAAAGACAAAGGGGACAAGGAAGGCCATGAACAACATACTCAGAAATCTGATACAGATGGGTAACAGGGAAAGACCAGGACAATAAAATCTTTTAGAGAACATCCAAGCAGAGAAATGAGAAGCGACCCACAACAGCCAATGTCTGTCTCAGATCTGGCATTTGATGAAGATGATAAAGGACTTGAAGACAGCTGAACTCTGGAGGAAAGCAATTGGATACTGTTCAACGATCAACAAATGCATAACAACTTTAAGAACAGCTCCATTCACTCAGCAGATGATGGGGAAAAAAAGAGAAAAGAACTGGAACAAAGGCTTTAAAATCCAAACTGACTTTTACATTAACATGTCTGGGTTTTTTTTACACAAACTTTGACAACATTCTTATATTTGGCATTAACAATTTGACATTTATCAGATTCAACTGGATTTCAAAAAACAAATAATATGTGTAAAAGTATGAATTATCAATATGAAGTTTTATAATTCATTTGAAAATCTCCATGTACTACAAAACTTTTTTCTGTATAATGACTTCACAAACCCGAACAAAAAATATCAGCTTATCAAACTGTATGGCCAATAACTGAATAAAAAAACTAACAAGAGCAACAAAAAAAATGAGGAGAAAAAGATAGCAACAACCACATGGGTTAAGTGTGAAAGTTGGACCTAGAAAACTTGTATAAGGGTTTCAGTATAACGAAATTTTTTAGGCAAATCAAAGTATTCCTTTTAAAAATTGGACATGTGGACAATAGACATAGTTGCAACCTGTTGGACGTTTTTTGATTGTGTAATATTTGTCACATATTGCATTCCTAGGTCACAAACTCAAACTGAGTGACTTGGTACGAAACTTTGGTATTCTAGTAGGTCATGTGTCATAACACCATATACTTCGCTTATTATAAATTATTAAAAAAATTTTAAGGCCTCCATAGTAACAGGTTGCAGCCAGCCACATACTGAGTCTAGTTTGTGAAAATATGAATCCTGCACCTTCATAGTTAATTATGCTTTCACAAAAATATCACCAAAGGGTCATGATACCCTAAACTGTAAAATTTGTCCCTGAATTTTTAACTTAAGTACAACCGATTGCGTGTTTAGTGTACAAGACCCCAAGAGTCATATATTTATATATAGTGCAATTAACCGATTGCCAATAAGTCTGCATAACAGATAAAAATTTCGAAATCTGTATGCTGGTCTTTCCTAAAAGCATGAGATGCAAGAATGATTCAAAAAGACATCTCTGAAGAGTCAAGGAGAAAAAAACTAGGATGGGCATGTTGCAAAATCATTGATGAGGGTGAAGCCTTGCAGAAAAAAGGCACAACTGTGGAAGACTGACAAAGAGTAGAAAAGCACTCATCAAATGTGATGTGGGACAGGAAAGACATCAAAGACAAAGACACTAGTACCCTGAAACGGTACTCTTTACAATGGTGGGTTTGTAAATCCGTACTTCTACTGGCTAGTGAAGAATTATGACATTCACAGATTTAAAAATATCTTTCTGTTCACCTTCAGCAGTTTAGTGACATCTTTAATTTGGCAAAGGAGACATATTGGTCAGGTAGTTTGACTCGTGATCAGCAGGCTGTGGGTTGGATTCTTGGCTGACATTGTGCCTTTGAGAAATACAAATCACTGTCTTTTTTCATTCCACCTTAAAGAAAATCAGACACCAGTGTCTGCTGAGTGGAGAATCAAAACCTGGACTCCTGTCAAGGAGGAGATTTCATTTCCATTTATTTACTGAATGATACAGAGACTGTGCTATGCTCTTTTTCTTTGCCCCCCACAGGCACCAAGGGAACTGTGCTTATTTATCTTTTTTTGTTTCTTGTAAACTAGAAATCCACTAGTATATATTCATCAGTAGTAATGATCTGTGGTCCATAAGAGATTTTTCAATGACTAAGACAGCAATGTAACCTCACTGTTGTGAAATGACAGACAAGGAAAAACTTCAATACAGACTCAAAGTACAAATATGTGCCAAGAAACAGAGTTTTACCATTTATGAAAGTTGCATATATATTCAACAAGCAGAACAAATAACAAGCATTTTGGTTAAAATTATGTGTCAAAAGGCAAGAGAAAGTTATAGAACCTAGACAAAAAAGATAAATTGTCAATCTATGGCTAGTTAGTTGTCAACATGGAACCATCAATAAAATATCAAGCACAAAATGTGCAGTATATGTTACTAGGAACACATAAAGAGCTTTATACTAGCATCAAAACAATATCAACTGTCAATGACAACATCCTGTGAAAGAGCATGTGTATATTGAGCACTTAGAATATTGTGAAAATGACAGTCTTACACCCTCATCACACTTTTACAAACATGTCAAGTATATAGGGTGCCTAAATTTACACATCTTTTGAGATGCAACTGAATGTCACAAAAGGTTTAAAAAAACACTGCAGAAAGATTGATAGCTCTAAACAAGGGACACACTTGAGCTCTGTCAAAAAAGGAATGAACACGGACAATAGAGATAACTTTAATATTCAAGGGGAATGTCTATAGAACCAAGAGTTGCTTCTGTTCTGACTACACAAATACTACTACAAGTGAACTAGTAATTTACAGCTCTTGCACGGAACACAAATAACAGAACCAACAAAAGCAACCTAGAAACATCATGTCCTATTCTCTGGAGGTGTTGAGACACACATAACCTTGAAGCGTGTTTGTCAAGTAAAAAACTTCAATGATATGTATTAACCCTAGTAGTATTAATTTTGAATGTAATTCCAAAAGCATCTAAACACATGCACACAACACTTTGAAATATATCTATGTAAGGCCCAAAATTCAATAAGCTTGCCAATTCTGCAATTGAGACAGCCTGATGCACATAAAAGACATCCTGTATTGACTCCGCATAGACAGCAAAAGTTCACAATCAAATAATCCAAAGCATTCTTAACTAGTCTGAAGTAATCCTGAGTATTCTTGATTTAACTGAAAAATCTGAAAAGTGTTCTAATCCATGTCATTTATTACTGGGCTGAGCAGTTCACTTCAAGTTTAAAAAAAAAAGAAGATTTGCAAGGATCAAAGAACATCTTTTCAAAGAGACAGGAACACTTCAATACATTTCAAACAAATTCCTCTGCAAGGGGACTGGCTATGGGTTATCCTCAAAAAGGAAATAAATTAATTTCTTTGTGCTTGAAAGCAGCAATTGAAGCTTGAATATGTACTTGCACGCATTATAGCATATACATACAAGTTGAGATCCACTAAGGAAGGGAGAACATCATTTCAAATTTATAGATCACATAGTCAACATGTATTATACCTCTTACTTCTCACAGAGTGAAGGATGTTTATATAGGCCAAGAAATTTGGCAGAGAAAAAAACCAGACATGAATCTAACAGATACATCAATGAGCAGTGGATCCATGTCGAACACTGCACCTTGTTCTAATTCCCTCCTTCAAGCATAATAGTTAAACTACTATAGAGATGATATTGCTTTAAAGTATCTTGGTATTCTATCAGATTTCAAGGGCCAAAAACCTTTGATAAGGTGCCTGCCCAGATAATAATAATAATAATAAATAATAATAATAATAATAATAAATATAATAATAATAATAAATATAATAATAATAATAATAATGATAACAATAAGAAGAATATAATCAAATTTCAAGGCAATAATAAATTCTAAAAAGCATATACCAGAGTTTGTGAAATAAAGCTCAGTTTTCACTCTACAATGCTACTTTGTTAATTCAATACCGGCTGGCTCAAAAGGGAAACAGTTGAATAATATCAGCATCAAGCACGGGAGACTGCCACTCATTTTGAGAACTGAGAGTACACCAGGCCAGTGGCAGATATCGCATCTCCCAAACCAACAGTTTTCACAGGTCTTTTACACACTAACACAGGACTAAACACAAACATGTACCCATCTTTCTGCCACTGCATGACAGGACTGCGAGGATCCAACTCTCTTTCCACATCACCAGAGTACAGGTGGAATTTGCGAGGTATCTTTAGCTCAACAATATCACTTTGGAGTTGAGCTACATCGCAGGCCTGGAGCCCAGCTACCTGTGCACCAGCAGCAGCTGCCTCATCCACATTGGACCATGTACCCTCTGCTACCGCCACTATGTGGAAGGTGAGGGAATGAAAATGTACTCTTGTCAGCCTGGCTGTAGGAGACTTAGGTGAACGACCGTAACTTTTCAGCATCCATAACATAATATCTGATATCTTGTGGATGTCTGGTTGACCACTGTCTCCATCCAGGTGGTCTGAGTGAGGCCCATTCAAAGCTTTTGAAGAGAACACCAGTTCTTGCTCATTGAGGCCCAGGGAGTCCACATTTGGGACAACCTGAAAAGTTTGAAAAAAAGAGAAAAATAAAATTGGGGTTAAATAACAGGAGAACATAAAAATTGATGAACTGTGCAGCTTTAGAAGTCAACAAAACAACTGACTTTTTCTTTCAATCCTGAACATTACAGAAATGACCATCTTTATACATGACAAACACACTTCTGAGAATCTTTCACCCACTCCTTATTAATCAATCAAAGAACTCACTGTTTCAAAAGTAAAATTTCAAGCACAAAGAGATCCAGAGAGTCTGAAAAATTACACTGTACCCATTGCACATTGGCTCTGAGCATACGAAAATCCTTAGATTAGAGAAATACCATTAAGTCTTTCATTCTCTAAGAAAAACAAAAGAAACAACTATTAATCTGAGAAATAATCTGTAGGGACAGAGGAACTCATAACAGTGCATGTCTTAACCATTATTCAATGTACCTATTGTTGACATCAAGAAATACATCCATTTATTCTATTGATGTATCACGATGGTCTCAACAGGCTCAAAGCATTGTATAATTTATTAGCACAAAGGAAAAAAGGGAAAGTCGTGCACACAGCAATATTAAAAGAGAATAATTTTTCACCATTTTTACTTCTCTGGGCATTAAATTAGTGAACATATCTCACATGAAGGGACCCTGCCATTTCCCAGTCATTCACAAAATAAAATTTGTTGCCTATTCAAGTAGGATTATGCCAGGAGAAAACTCAAGATCATGACAAAGCAATTTGAGGGTCCTAACACAGTATCACACTGGTTCCGGGGGTGGGGTGGGTTCTCTTATCAATATCTTAAAACAAAGTTGTCACAATAAAATCCATCTCTAAAGAACAGAACAGAGCAGGCAATGAGCACAGCTTCAACCACAAGAAAATTGCCATAAGTATTTGTTGTGTGACTACCCATATGAGACAGTAAAAAAATCATAATTCTCCTGTTGCCCAGCGCTCGACAAAATCAAAACTTTTCTTCCAGTGAGTCAAGATGGCAAGAACACAACAAGTGGAGAAGACCTACACAAACCACCTCATGGCATTCAACCAAGGGGCAAAAGCTGAAACTTTTCAGACCAACAACAATATAATAAAGAAAGTCTTCAATCACTGCACATTCAATTTTTGAATTAAAATTAAAGGTAATTGTAACAATTTAACAGCAACACACATCGAGGACACTTGCTGTACATTAAGACAGTCATGCAAGAGAAAAGATTATTTTGACATTCATGATTCAATTTGAAAACTTGTCCCCCCCCATTACAGTAATACGCAAAACATAAAAACAACAAGAAAAAAACTTGTTCTTGAGAAAATGTTTCTTAAAATGATTGAAATATTTCGATTGTGAAAATAATCCACTTATCACTGCTCCTTGGCATCGTCAACAACAACAAAGCTTCCCCTGCATTCGTTATCATACCAAGAAAATGTAACCCACACCACACTTCAAACATCTAAGTGCACTAAACTTGGAAAAGGCTCAGGAAAGTATCATAAAAGCGAGAAAAGAAAAAATACACCAGGCTTAGATTGTAACAAAGTTAACAGCAAAACACATTTTGAATCCTTAAACAATATAAACCAAAGTCCTATAACTGTTCAAACTACGCAGCTTCATTATCTTGCTGTACATTAACTCTCGTCCTTCGAGGGACGGGTTTACGTCGGCCGATAAGCCTATTTCGCCACCTCGCCTGCGTTCCGGTCCCGCGTAAGTCTGGCCCCTGGCTCAGCGTACGTGCGCCGAGCATCATCTCAAGTGAAATTCGGGTCCCGCGTCGGATCCCCATTCACACAGGTCAAGTGTGTGTGCGTCAGTCTGCTTGAGTTTGTGTGCATTTGTGGCCTTCTTCTAGAACCACCTGCGTTGGTTTGTAATCGAGGCATACGTCTCATTCAAAACAACGCCAAGTTGGTAGCTCTAGATGTTCGTCCAATGAAGTTATAGAAGAAATTGACCCACTTAGACATGAGAAGCTCGAAAGGATAGTCAGGAAACAAGACTTCCATTTTTCCATAAAAAATCTTTCAAATGAGCTTGATTTTGTATGAAATGATACTATCTGATAAAAAATAAGTTTGTTTGATAGTTTTGAATACCATTGTGCAGGTACAAAGAACAATTTGTGCGCAAAACATTAGGAAATTGACCTATATTATCCTCTTTCGAATCTCAGGTCATTCATAACAACAAGAGCATCTAGAAAGGTTATTTGAATTGGCATAACTACTCGTAATGTCTTATCAGCTTATAAGAGGGGGTTATTCAAGTGTTTGTAACACTTTATAAATAGAAAGCTATGAAAGATAGAGCGTTATTTTCATAATCGATTAACACACTCCCGCAGTATCCAGGGCGAAAACACACATTTCCTGGCGCGCGCGCTGTACACCAACAGTACACACTGAGTGACCCCGGCGGCCTGCCCAGAACATCTGACGTAAATGGTTGCTGATAAGATTCGCATCTCAGCACAGACGCAGGATAAGAGTTAAGACAGTCATGCAAGTGAAAAGATTTTTTTTGACATTCATGATTCAATTTGAATTACAGTAATATACAATGATAAGTGGATTATTTTCACAATCGAAATATGTCAATCATTCTAAGAAACATTTTCTCTAGAACAAGTTTTTTTCTTGTTGTTTTTATGTTTTGGTATATTACTGTAATGGGTGGACAACACCATTACCAATCTCCTGATCTCACTAGGTAAACATAGGGACTACAGACCCATAAAGAAGGGAGGCAAGGGGACCCAAATTTAAACTTGTTATAATCTTTGACGTTTCTTCTCACAAATATTTCTTTCATTATCATATTCAGAGACAGAATCATTATCATATTCAGAGACACAACTAAGCTGTACTCTCTCGGGTCACATGGATGGAGTGAAATCTTCCTCTTAAGGACCATCAGATTGACAAATAGTGAAATCTTTCTGATATGAATCCATAAACAAATAAGCATATGAAAAATGTATATATAAAACTCAACAATGACAACTACAGTACATTTTCATAGCTGTGAGCCTATTAGCACATGAAAAATGTCACCCTCTCCCCTCAACCCTCCTGATAAAAAACCCAGAAAAAAACCCTGATAAACAAGAAAAGACAAATTCCAGATAGATATCAAGGCCAGTTTTGCTATAAGACCCAGCTCTATGCACTAATGTCTTTACAGATGCTCCACGCTAAATTATTTGTGAGATCTTTCATTCACTGTGTGCTACAACCGTCTCAAGTCTAGAAGTCTTTCAGTCTTGAGATGCCTGTTATGATTTTAATTTTGATTAGAACAAAGTTGCTTTTTTGAAGTACTGCACTCAAAAATAAAGTAAATTGGCCAAAATATTACGAATGTGGTTAAATTTTTTTTAGTAATATAATATTTTTACCCCAAAAATTAAGTGATAGATACCACATAAGTATAAAGGAAAAATGTTCAAGATAAATTCTTGGGCAGCTTGAAACAACAGTCAATACTGGACCTAATTACATCCCAATAGATTAAGTGTATCCCTCTTTTGGTACAGTGATGAATCATTCATTCTCATAGTGAGAGCAGTCTTGTATAGCCTTCCTTATGAATGAAACAGACTGTCTGCTTTCCATTTTTGTAGTTTAAAGAAAAACTTTTAAAACTCATAGCAAATAACACACATAGTGTAAGAAATCATTCATTTGTTTGAGTAAAGGGGAAAAACAGACAGAAGCAACAGGGGAAAGTAAAGAAGTAGGACCTGCCAGTGGCACATCCAACCACCTGCTGTAAAAAACATTGAGCTAAACCCTCCCCCCCCCCCCCCAGTAGCATGTCTTTATTTATAATTGTATATTCAAATTAAAAATTTTCACACTCTTCAAGTTCAAGCTGTCACACTTTTTATTCCTGTGCATGCCAATGCCCACACATTGCAAAGCTGTATGTACAACACAAATTGGCAAAATTGGAGAAGTAGGCCTTACAAACAGCCCATCACAATCCTTGCTGAACAGACAGCTATACTGATGAGACAAACAAACACATGAGAGGACACAGCAAAACAGGGAGTCAGTCTACACCACAACATGCTTCCCCCACACTAGAACTATCAACAATAAGGACAGATAAAGACATTTGAGAGATGAGACTGGTCACCATTTTCCAGAAAAGCAGTTGGAATACATTTATAGATAAATGTCTACAGAAACCAAATTGTGGTGTAAGGTATTGCACATTTTAACAGACAATATTCTGCAAAAACAAAAGTCTCAGCATTTCCAAGCTATAAGAAAATATTTTGAAGAGTCAACTACACAATAGTAAAAAAATCATACGGCTCATAAAGTCAGCACAAAACCTGAAAACAAACTCACCCAATCCACACTGCCATTATCAATGCCCCACTAATACATCATCTCCTTGCATGCTGACTGCAACGCACCTAATAGCGACCTAATAAATATCTACCAAAAACCAATACCAGACATGCAAAAAAAATCCTTCATTTGATGCACTATCAAACACCATCAGAACCTTTACCATGAAACTGGAACAACGGACAAAAGCTCAGACAGCTGTTAGATTATGAAAATAAATACATTGAAGAAAACAACCAATCAGAGATAAAAGACATAAATAGAAACATCAAATCAAAGCACACACAATACACATTTGTCTTAAGACTGGCCCTTCGTATAAAAGAATAAAAATAAGAATCTTGAAAGTATATTAAAAAATTTCACATATACAACAGAACTTCGACTAAAAATATTGAGAACAAAGCAAGAAAAAAAAGTACATGTACATTCAATTAACTTGCTTCGCCAAATTTGTTGACAGGTTCTGTTCACAGACTAACGTGATTTTGAAGCTAATTTGCAAATCCCTTTGTAACATAAAGAGGAATTCTTAAATAAATCAATACTTAACTTCTCTATACTTCAAATTTTACAGCAAGACCTATGCGAAGAGTACAAATTCATATAATGTTGTAAAGAAGCTTCACACAAACATATAAATACCTTTTCGACAATTTCTTTCACAAAGTTCTTGTTCGCCATGCTGGCAAGCTCAAGGTGAATAGGTGTCGTTGAAGGAACTTCTTTAGACAAAGTGATTAATTTCTCTAAACGTTGCTGAAAGAACTCTGGAGTCTGACCATCCAAAATATTCAAACCTGAGATACAAAAATAAAAGTTTTTAGAGCATGCAAATATTTCAAATCTTTCTAAATTCTTGGTAAAATAAAAATTCATGAGACAATAGAGAAAATCAAGATTTGAGGGCAGCATACTACAAGCATGTCTTCCAAAATGATTCATCAGGTCTGATCTATTGATAAATTACAAATATATCAGCCATTGAGAAAACAAACAATTCATACATTTCATACATTTTAAAACAAAATTACATTCCCTTAAAATGTTTGACAACAAAACCAACATTTCTTCCACTCTCATTGTACCGTGCAAATCACAAGAAAGAAGTAAAATATTTCTCATGCCAGATATAAAGATTAGACTCAATTCTTTGGGCAGCAGTTAGTTTCCCCACGGAACTTCCTCTGAGTGAGAGACTACTTGGCCATTTCTTTAACAAATAGTGGTCATGTGACTAAAAATTACTTTATAAAAACCCATAACACATGCAAATATGTATTAAGCACCAAAATACTCAAAAGTGAATAAGGTGTCAGAATAATTTGATTACAATCAATGAATCATATCAGATCTGTTTTCACAACTCGATTCTCCTGTGAGTGGAGGTAACAACTTGTCATCAAATTGAGGTGCCTCCTCAACAAGTCACCCAGCAGCTTCATCTTCAGTGACATTGTTTGAATCAGTCAAGTCAATCAAAGTGGATCTCAGTTAATGGTATCTATCTCTTCTGTCTATTTTTTTCCCTCAGTCTTCCTGTTCTTGTAATTCGTAGAGAATATACTGCGTATTTGTATTAGGTGTCCGTGCTGTTCTGTTTTTTTTTTATAAAAAGAAACAACTGAACATCAGAAATTAGGTAGGGGTTCATTTGAACATGGCTTATGTTTGCAAACTATGTGAAAAATGAAAACGAAACTCTCTAGGAATAATTTATAGTGTCATTCTCCCTCTTTAACAGCGTCAGAGTAGCTCAAAATTAAGACTATCAGTGTGTCAGGTGTGAGCACGGCATAAACTGTGTTTTCCGCTCGGGGACCAGCTGCGTTGGCACGCCATATGCCATGTTTACTGCCAAAAGAGTTAATTGACCTTTAATGCTTTACAAAAATGTTATTACCTTAGATCAAATCTAAGAGTTCATTAAAATACTAAGTACCTGATAAAAGAATTAAATCTGGCTTGAAAGCTTTCAGGCTTTCAAAAAAAGGCTCCAACATCAAACTTTTCGAATTAGATTCATCATAGGTGGCTATGAATCTGGTAGCAACAGATGCTTCAGCATCCCCCCATTTCTCTCCAACTTTATACTCCATGATTAGGTGGACTTCATCTCTGGCAATTTTGCATGAAGATGGGATCTCAAGGGTCTTGGGCATCAAGCTCTCCAGTAAGGGGCCCACAGGTCCAGCAAACAGGATCTTCCAAGAGAAAGAAGAAGAATTATGACCTCTTCATTCTGATATTTGAAGACTGATTTTGAAAAATACAGACACATAAAGACACTTCGAGAAAACATAAACAATTGAGCACAATTTTATAGTTCTACATTTTCAACGGCAGAACCTATCCATCTACACCTCGCACTGCCACACTAAGGGGATTTGTGTCTTTGAAGTTAACTAGGCTTGCACAACAAACTATTTAATATCATAATAACAGATTATGTCAAGATGGGATGGTGCCTGGTGACACAGAACAACTTTGAACCCAATCATAGAGCAATTAAAGTGTTATGAAAACCTACAAAAGTCAAAGAAAACTACAAAAACTAAAAAACGTATTCGATCCACTTACTTTCAAGTCTGGAAAAAGGTTAGACGCTGTATATGCCATAAGACCAGCATTCCCTCCAATGTAGTGCTGAAACAACATTAAAAATTGATTTTAACGTAAAGAAATAAATATTCAGGAACCTGAAACATCAACTTTGCCATAACGAAGTTCGACTGTATGACCATACATACAAATGTAGAAATAACAAATACAAAATATGACAGGTAGACAGCATTGGAAGGAACAATAGATCTTTAAACATCTTCATTTTTTTAAAAAGTGGATGAAAATTACTAGGAAAAATCTAAAGCCAAAAGACAAAATAGGTGGTCAGTGTCAAAGGACATATATTTGAGTATCAAATGAGGGGACAGTCATAAATAGCTTGTTCTGTCCATCAAGTTTTTGTTAATAATTAGATAAAGGACCTTTCTCCACAGAGCCACTGCATCTATTTATTTGAAGTCACAAAACCACATTGCGATGTTGTTCTTGCAGTCTGAGTAACCTCATCCCAGAAGCATTCTCGAAGCCCAGAGCACCAATACCATTGATCTACAAACTAGCTTCTTGTCTTACTCTTAGTCTTAGTAGAGGGCGCTCGCAACTGCATAAGGTCATATGAGCGCCAAGGGGTGGGTTTCAACAGAGAAGTCTTTACAGGGAATCAGACTTACTCTGCTCACCTCTCTAGCTTCGACAGCACAAGGTCTGCTTTGACTATTAAGGCACCCCGGAAAAAGCGGGTCACAAGAGTGTGACAAACATACAAAAGAAGTAGAGGAAATGACAAAAGTAAGGATTAAGAAAGAAAAAGCAGCAGTTCCCTGTTGTAGATCAGGCACAGTTATGAGTGTGACATGATGAATCAGCCCATTTACAAATTTACTGTGCTTGAATGAGAAATGTCCCCCCTTTGGGAATAGCCTTAAAGACAGTCAGTGGCACTGCCCCGGGGGGTATCTTGTCTTACTCACAAAACCTAGAACAATTTTTTGTCAGAAATAAAAGGAGAAAAAAAACCCTACAACAATATAATACAATAAACAATTTTATGTAAGGTCAAGCAAAAATTATTCCAGGCTATATATATTCAAGCATTGCAATTCATACTTCACCTCAACATGACCTAAAGTTTCGGCTGCTTGAATGATCCTTTGATACTCCGCCTTATCTGTAAATGGACGTTCAGCAGCACCACCTTTAGCAAAGAAGTAGGCAAACGCTTCTTGCAGCTGCCCGATGTTGTTGATGGTGGCATGATCTTTTCGCTTAGCAGGAGAGATATGAAGAGTATTTAAAAGCTCTGTGCCCGAGACAATGACATCGATGTTAGAGTTGATGCTGTGGAAGTGAAAAAGTTATCAAAAAATATTCAGGACTTATTTCAAGCAGTGAAACATCTTTTGTGTGTCAGTTGCAATAGATGGAGTTCAGGAGAATGTTTTAAAGCATACCCTTAATTTATTATAACAATGTTTAGAGGGGAGCAAAACCCTATCAACAAAGCTCACTATAAGCAAACTCTAAAAACCTTCATTAGTTACACGAACGCAGAAAAAAAGTATTCCTTTAAACCGGTTAAGACTAGTATTTTTCATTGTGCATGTTTTCCAAAAACTACCCTCAAGTAGCCGGGAGACATACTTCACATATAATGTAATTACAAAAATGACCTTATAATATTTTAAAAAGGAATGCTTCCTATTGTCAAGTCTATTGACTGTGCATGTCATAACAAAAACGGCTTCCTCTATAAACATTTTTAAAAGATATTTCTGTTTGCTCTTTAAACACACATATGCGTAAAGGGTCAAATAGGTCTATGATCGTATGAACATATTCAATGCATGCACATACTTCCTCAACCACTATTTCACACTTCAGATATCGGTCATAAAGCATTTGTACACAAACAGAACTTTCATCTCTACCCACCTCTACTAAACTTTATTGTCTTTCATTAATAATTGTTCATTTACATGAAACATCCTGAAAAAGTTGAAAACTTTTTAGCAGCGTAAGTATTCCTACTTCACAAGAGGGTAAACAAGAGCTGCTTGTGCAATGCAGCAGGGACACCCCTGCACTTCAGCAGAAATATGAGAAGACTAAGTCTCAGTTATCTAGCTAGCTATGAGCAGTGCAAAGCAAGCTAGCTATGAGCAGTGCATAGCAAGTTCGCAAGTTGGCTATAAAAGGCAACAGAGTCTTCAGAAGGACCTTTTATGAGAAGGTAGGCAAAAAAGAACTCACAAGCAAAGCCTTACAAATTCAAATGAAAGCTCAGCATAAACAGAATGAAGCATCAATTTAAATCAGTGATATTTTTCTGGAGTCCAGATTTGATTCTTGGGTAAACCATCAAATGATGATGGCAAACTGCAAGAAATGAACTTTCATCCAAGACTAATTCATCTGAGTAAATCTCTTTAGGACCTATTAGTGGACAACAATTGGATAGCTTGAATCGGGAAAACCAGAATGTTTCCTAATTACAGTTTACTTTACAAAAGGCATCATGGGACATTGGATAAACAGATGACAAATGAGCAAAAACAGGGAATACATATTATAGACTCAAGTTGCAGATGACACTGCACTCTTTGCCACAAACATTAACAGGACTACAAAATCAAATGAAACCCTTCAAAGAACACGAGACAAAAAAGAAACATCTATAGTCTGTCCACTAAATTATGAACAAGTTTGAGGCAAGTTTTCTCAGCAACCAATTTTTGTTTGATTTTGACCAATTTTGAGTGATGCTTCGGTTGGGGGCGATCTGTTGATTTGCGAGATCCATTGATGGCGCAGCCCATTTGGTTGATCGAGGAAACGCGCGACAATCCATTGATTGTTGTGCATTCTGTTGATCAGCGGATCGCGCAGCGCTTTTTGTCGATCCATTTTGTTGCGCATTCTATAGATCTTACCCCTGAGTATTGTTATGTTTTGTTGTCGTCCAGAATGTAATTTAGTTTCACTCTCTAAAGTCAAACCGAAACTGAATGGAAGTAACAGGAAATCAGGGTTACAATACCTTACTACATCGCAATAACGGAAGTTGAAATCAGGGTTATAGGTCGGTGAGTATCACCCGAACACTTATTCAATATGGAGCAGTTCACGGTGATAATGGAGAAAGAAGCGCAGATATTGTCTAAAAATCCAGCGTCTGTGTAACTGACAAAAGAAAAGTTTGACATGATTGTTGCGCATTCTGTTGATCAACAACAATTTATCACAAGCCATTAAATCTTGACCGTATTTGGAATAGCACGTGAAGTACAGCGGAACTCGGATTCAACGAAGTCGCCGGGCCTGACCTAAAATCTCGTTGAATCCGAGTGTTCGTTATAGCAAACACGAGGTTTTGTGTAGATAATTACAAGCACTGAACAAGTAATGTACAAGAGAAGTCACAAGTAGTGCCTGAAATGCCTGCATATTTTGAGCTGTGTAAAAATAAAAAAAGGCCGATTCATTCAAATACACACGCCTCTGTGTCATCTCGATTGTTTACCAAAAAGTTATGTTGCTGTGTAGAGCCTAGCATACGACAACTTTTGATTCCATAGACCAGCGCACAATTCTTAACGTAGATCTACGTCAAAACTAGCTTATTATTGTAATAATGATCAGTTGCCAAGGGGAAAAAAAGACTGTGACGCGTTTGTATACATATATATATGAGACGTTCAACGCCCGGACCGCTAGTGACCCCCCCCCCCCTTCCCCGACACGCAAACAGCCACACGTGTGCAGGCCGCCCATCTGACCCCGACACACGCCAGAGTAGACATGTGCGCATGCCAACAACACATGTGTTGGTATTTTAAAAAGCCGCTGATTGGTCGCATGCAATCGGCTAAGTGAATAATGGTTCTGGGAGAAAAATTAGCGAAGCCACGTCTGCGGGGGCTGTTCACCCTGGAAGCAACCTTGTTGAATCCGAGCTCGCTGATTTAAGTGCTCGTTGAATCAGGTTACTTAAAATTTTATTGATTTTAAAGAAGAAATAAAACCCGGGGAATCTGTCTATCTCTTTGAATCCGAGCTCGTTAAATTTGAGTTCCACTGTACTCAGCCAATAACATCCGTCCAAATACTGCGTGCAGGTGCTTGATTTAACATCGTGTCAATTTAACTGCCTCACTCAACTGTCAACACTTTAAATTCAACACACAATTCTTCTTGGAAGCAAAACAACAGGACGCTGCAAGACTAACAGTTGCTCAGTAAACCAATTTTCTTTTTTTTTATTCACTTCATCATCATAGTTTATCGACAGAATGCGCAGTAAGTATATATTTCATGGATCAACAAAAAGCACTATACTGTGCGATCCGCTGATCAACAGAATGCACAACAATTAATGGATTGTCACGCGTTTCCTCGATCAACCAAAATCGCTGCGCGATCGATGGATCGCACAAATCGACAGATAGCGCCCAATACTTATATGGGCAGCCAGGACATTATAAAAAGGTATTTTAGGTACATCATGTATGTATCATTATTAGCACCTCTGGTAATTACTCTCTCATTAATACAGTAATATCTAGTGATTACAGGTTTACAGTAACAATTTGAAAACTAAAACATACAGCTGCACATATGATTATATAAGAGTTGAAAATATAATCTTTTGTTTGGAGCAAGGAGTTACAGAGCTGCATTCAACCGTGAATTCCAACTCTACACCCACGAGCCTTCAGTGTTGTGACTTCCAGTTGAGAGATTACTCAGACTTAAGGGTTTGTGGAGCAGTAAAAGTATCAAAAGCTCTATGAGAGGTTGCAGCTCTAAACTTGCAAGATTTTTCATTCAAAATCCATTGCTGGATGCCCATTCCCACCTGGGTGAAGTGAGGAAAATTTGTTCAGTGCCTTTCCAAAGGACAATGATAATGAATGTCTGGTCCTGATGGGAATCGAGCGCGTGACTTAACGAGTCAGATCTCAAGGGCCGACATAGCCTAAAACACAAGACACTGACGCCAAAAAACTGCAGAATCAGATGACATGGAGAACCGTTTCCTTTGTGTGCTGGACTCTAGGTAAATTTATAATTATAAAAATAGTAGTGTATATTATTAAACGAAGTGTTTGACCCGGTAACCGGCAACAAAGTCACGAAGTATACAGACCCGGTAGGGGAACTCTTTTGTGATTTCGGGAAGTTTCAGACCTCAGACCCGGTAGAAATCTTTTGTGTGTGTGTGTGTGTGTGTGTGTGTGTGTGTGTGTGTGTGTGTGTGTGTGTGTGTGTGTGTGTGTGTGAGAGAGAGAGAGAGAGAGAGAGAGAGAGAGAGAGAGAGAGAGAGAGAGAGAGGGGGGGGGGGGTGCTAGCAAAATGTATGACATGCCCCAGTTGGCAGGAGGGAACGAGAGAAAGATAGAGTGGGAAATAGGTGGGGACAAAGAAATACAGAGACAAACAAAGAAAAAGAGAATGCGAGGCGGCCGGTCACAGGGGTGGGAAAAAAAAAAAAAGTCGAGAGAGAGAGAGAGAGAGAGAGAGAGAGAGAGAGAGAGAGAGAGAGAGAGAGAGAGAGAGAGAGAGAGAGAGACTGCTCGATTGAAATTATGACATTGTAACTTGTTCTTTTCTTCGGATTGTGATTCCTCCAATTCCGAAACGGAGGACAAACCATCGTCCATCGAAACGACATCCGCAATCTTCATTTAGATCTAGAATCTAGAATCTAGGTTACCCGCGAAACTAGATGAAAGATTTATGTCTGTCTGCCTAGATCTAGAAGAACCTAGGTCTACCCTGAGCCAAGAGGGCGCTGAAACGCTCCGAAATCACAAAAGAGTTCCCCTACCGGGTCTGTATACTTTGTGACTTTGTTCCCGTTACCCGGTCTGATATACACTCCCAAACAAGCCAAGGACCAACGTATTACTTAGAATCTATAATTACTTAGCCTACCCAACAGCAAGCCGCTTGAACTGATTAGGGGGCAGATTAACCAGTTTTGTCCATGAATCGATCACATATCTTTCATCAGGCAAATCTTGATCTTCGGAATACGTGTAAAACAAATAGGAGACACAGATGAAGCAGATCGACAGAATGACAGTCCCTTTCGAAAACTGGATTTCCATTTGGAAGCTGAATGAACACTCGTCAACTTTAAAGAGTTAAAATGCACGGAATTGATCCGATGGTTGCAATGTAAAAGCGATGCTACGCAACAATAGATAGATCTAATATAATCTGTCAATAAGCACATCGATTTCCTAATGCAATTTATTTGGCTACTCATTGACCGCTGAGCCGCTCCGTGGCCCCCTGAGCACGTCGTAGCAGTCGACGTGACGATACAAACAAGAAAGCGATCACTCAACGTGTAAACAAACTTATCCCCCTTGGCACACAGCAGCGTTAACCCTCACATTAGCCTACAAAAGAATAGTGCTAGCCTAGCCTGGCCAAGGCCTTGGTGCTAGCCCAGTTCATGGTCATTGGCCTGGGAGCTGTACATTCGCATACAAATTGCAGATAAAAGCGAAGCCGTGTCTGTCCATAATAATCAAAGTTTTGAAATTGTCTTTATAGTGTGGACGGAGGATTCAATTAGAACCAATATTAAAGAATTAAAAAAACAAGAGCAAGGGAGTCATTTTAGATCTACATTTGGCATTAAATTGGCTTATTGTCACCTTATCTGGCATCAAGATCAAGAAGACATGAGAAGAGGAAAACGGAAAAAGAAGGAAAGGAAAGTTAATTTGATCATGGGCTTGGGCTTTACCCAAAAAAAGCCTTAAAAAACCCAGACTGGTGCGAGTGTTTCGAAGTTGTTAGGAAGAGATTGAAGTTGAGGCCAATAAGGGGTTCACTTTAAAGCCACAAGAGCAATCATATAGACTAGGCAAAAAAAGATTCCTTGCCTTGGACGAGGCCAAGACACAGAACTTAACTGACTTTTAACTGGCACAGAACAGCGAAGATTTACTGTCTTCGGCCAAAGATGAAGAAAAAAATAGTGGTAGATCTACTAGAATGCGAAATGCGAAGGAGATACAGAGCGAAGAGTTTGAGGCAGGGCCGGCTACTCTTGTGATATATTATTGTCTGTAGTGAGTAGTAAACAGGAACTTCGGGAAAAGCCGCGGAAAATCCGGAAAATGAGAAGGCAGGCGGATAGGCCAAGCAATCATAGTCAATAGACTTAGCTAGATTTAGATTGAATTCTTATGATTTCAAACCTTGCCTACGTACCGTGCGTCTTCAAAAATATATAGACTAGATCTAGATCTGCTTTACCTCGTTAGTATAATAAACAATCAACTCTGATACATTTCTACCCTTTCATTTTTACTGGATTGCTTGGTTACTTTTTTGTTCGGGTAAGTTTTATTTAGATCTATGGCCACCTCTATTCTCACCCGGAGTGAGAATAGGGCAGGCGAGTCTTGTGGCTATTCTCACCCGGTGCGCGTTCACCAAATTTTGCGTTCACCCTAAACCATAGAATTCTACACTGTGAGGAAAAATTGTAGAATTCTGTGCAGTGAACAAACGTTCCATTTCAACTGTAGTTGTAGCCTACTAAAAGCAAGCATACAATTTTGTCTGTGGGCAGTGGAAAGAGAGAGAGGAGTAGCGCGAGAATTTCCGGGCAAAACAAAATGGCGACCCGCGTAGTTCGGCTCGATTCGAAAAGTTAAATAGCCGTAGCATCTTTGTAGACAACCAAATTAATTTACTTTTGTGTTTTAACATCATTTTTAATTTTTAACTTTGTTTTGGTCAATTTGATCGTCCACACCAATAGACAGTATTCAGAAAGAGACAGAGAGAGAAAGAAGAGAGGAAGAGTTGATCTTGCGAGAACTTCCGGGCGGGTGAGAATAGCCACTTTCTTTATTTATAGTGTAGCGATTTTGTAGTTTCGTTTGTTAAAGTCAAGAGTAGAGGGGAGTTTCTGGAGGAGATCTAGAATCTAGATCTAGATTCTAGATCTAGATCTAGATCTAGATCTATACATCTACATCTAAGATCTAGATCTAGATCTAGATCTAGATTTAAATCTAGATCTAGTCTAGATTCTAGCACCAAAGATTCTCAGAATACTAAGTCTAATATCTAGATCTAGATCTAGAATCTAGATTCTAGATTTAGATTTAGATCTAATCTAGATCTAGATTCTAGAGTCTAGATCAAGGAGGAGACTCCTCCCTCGGATATGGTGGTCCCGATATTTGTTGATATCGGAGACCGGGAAATAACCTGAAAATGAGCCCAACTGGCTAGGTAACAACCCGTAGTATGTGATAGGGGACCCCGGACACACTGTAGAAATAGATAAGCCTTGTGGCCAAGCGGAAATACGTTGTACACTCTGTGCCTGAGCGGTGGGTATTTGGGGGTGTTGATAGAAACACGAAACGGGGGTTCTTGGTACTTGTTCCAGACCGCACAGCAGCAACCCTGCTGCCCATCATCCTTCGCTGTATAGCACCTGGGACAATCATCTACTCTGACAGCTGGCAGGCTTATGTTGGCTGAAATTTGCCAGTAAAGTAAAGCCACCTTAACCAACACTGTCACCAGTTGTTCACGAGAGAAATTCTGTCCCCGTCATTTTATGCAAGAAAAATTCTGAAATTATGCAAACTGAGCCCCAAAATGTGAAGTTATGCAATTCTGTTGATTTCAACAAAGAATGATAGGAAAATAATCAGAAAGTATGCTAAAAATTATCAAATTTTGCTAAATTATGCGGGGTGCATAATATCACGGAGACAGGTAATTTCGTCGACCCTGTCACTGGAGCTTGCACTAACACTAACAGGGCCGAATGTTTTTGTTAAAAATTGCAAGAAATGATTATAGGCTGGAGTACAGGGGACAACTTTAGATTCCCACCTGGATGAGTTTTTGTGGAGGGAGATCCATGGGGACAACAAGCAAGCCCTCAACAACCTTCTCCTCCACCTGCCCCAATGGTACCCCATCCGGTAAATTTTTACTTTCACTCCCGCACGCAGATGCTCTGCTTTGGGGGTCAAACTGCAGTACTGTTTGCTGCAGGTCCCACATAAAGCCAGTAAAACTGTTGCAAATCAATTATTTTCAAGAAAATTTCAAATCTAAAACTGTATATCAAATTAAGGGTTCAAAAAGGGGGCTTGCCCCCCCAGTAACCCCCCCAGATTTGTTCAAGTCCAAAGCATATCTATCTCTAATAAGACATTATAAGAACAATCAGATATTTAAAAAATTATTAATTTGCGACGGAAATGATTTTTATTATTCATGTTCAGCGTATCAATATTTAGATCTAGTAGAAAATGGACAACTGGTAGCTAAGTGTGAGATGGGAGGGAAAGTAAAAAAATACCCCCCTTGCCCTAAGGTACGTTTATATTCCTTTTCTTTTTTCCTTGACTCCAGTTTGAGTCCCATTTCCATTAGATTCTGGCATATCGGGCGGTTTTTTACATTTCCGGCTCTTCGATGTCATCAAAAGTCGGGACCTAGATATATAGATCTATATCCTAGGAGTGTCCTTCCAAGATGCAATTTTATTGTATGGGCTTTAATCCCACAGGCCCACGCCGTGGCGGGCCCGTTTTGCCGTTGCTGCTTAGCCTTAGTCCTTGATGGGCTACATCACTAGGCGACTCGAGGTTGGTTTCATTGCCGACTGCTTGGTCTTGGTGTGTCTGTAGCCTACAACTTTGTTTTGAGAGTAGAAGAGGAGGTACAGAATGAACATGGTACAGACTAAATTCATTGAATGAGACTGAGATTGTTTAAAGATCAGTGTGACTTTTCGGACACAGACACAATCCTGTTCTCTCCCCAGGGCCATTTCCGGTAGAGATTGGTTTTCAATATCCTCCAATACCGATCACACACTTCCCAGTCACAGCAATTTTATGCAAACTGCAAGAATTCATTGGTCCAAAAAGAAAGAAGCATGTCATTCTCAAAAAGAAAAAGACCCACAATGTACGTTATTCATCCCTAAAACTATCGCAAATCAATTATTTTCAAGAAAATTTCAAACCAGCTGCACAATATTATGGATTAAAACAGACCCCCAGATTTTTGTTTACTTCAGCCTAGATTCCAAAGTATTGAATCAAGCTGTTGAAAACATGTGCTTGTACCGCACTGATTTGACAACCGTGTTGTATATTTGATATTTTGGCTGGCTTCAAGCATTCCATCCCATAAGATGAAGGAAAGCGAAGCGCGTTCACCGAATTCAAGTCAGGAATGGGATGGAAAATTGGATACTGTATATATGGGAAACAAGAGGTGAGAGATAGGACACAGAAGGTGGGATTCGGAAGATTGGGCTGGTCATATATTATGTGTGTACCATAATGACTGTATTGCACTGGGTCAGCCTGTGAACCGAAACACACCTCTCCCCCCCCCCTCCCTCTCTCTCTCTCCCTCTCTCTCCCTCTCTCTCTCTCTCTCTCTCTCTCTCTCTCTCTCTCTCTCCCTCCCTCTCCCTCCCTCTCTCTCTCTCTCTCTCTCTCTCTCTCTCTCTCTCTCTCTCTCTCTCTCTCTCTCTCTCTCTCTCTCTCTCACTGCCCGCAGGCAAAACTTCATGCTTTCAACTCAAGAGCGCTGGAAAGTTTGTTTACTCTCGTATCCGCTGGGCATCTCGCCCGGATGCGAGATATTGCAATTGAAACATCTTGGTAGTACAAAATCTATGGTAGTGCTGCTGTGGGCCAAAAATGATGCTGTGGAACTTGGTTTCAACGAGGTCGCCGGGCCTGGCCTAAAATCTTGTTGAATCCGAGTGTTCGTTATAGAAAACATGAGGTTTTGTGTAGATAATCACAGGCACTGAGCAGGTAATGTGTAAAGAGAAGTAACAAATAGTGCCTGAAATGCCTGCATACAGTAGTCTCCGTCTAAACGCACGGTGCTCTGGAGGGCTCCTCAGCGTGTGTTTATACGGAGCGTGCGTTTACATGAACCTTAGCAAAGGGAGGAGGGGACGCAGTCTTCTCATTGCCTTGATATACTAGTTACCTCCCTTTGGGATGGGTGTCACTTAGGCCAATAATGTGACGGCACGTGACTGCTTGGTAAAAGATTCCCCGACTGCGGTTAAGACTGCAAAGGCGTTGAATGGGGGGGGGGGCAGAAAGACAGACTTGATGTAATGAATGAACCATAAAATGTCGGGAACCAATAGCCTGAACAGAAATTGTTGGTGATAGTCATAGAGATGACGGCCCAGCCACGTGGCTTTCCAAGCGACCACCCCCAACCATAAATTCATGAACGAGTATTCACGCGTGTTGCGCATCATCATAGGCTTAGGTCTAACTAAACAACTAAACATTAGCCAACACGCAGTCACTCAAACACCAGTCAGAAACCTTCTCTCAAAGAGATGCATTTCCAGTGACCAATCAAATAACGTTTCCGTCCCCCAACCCCCCCCAACATTTTACCGACTAGTCCTAGACCTATGTGTCAGTGGAAAGTTTGGTGTGAAAACGCTGTCCATCACTCTCTTTGTTCTGCGTAAGGGGCAGTCTCACCAAATATCAGGTTTTCTAGGCTTGTCGTAGTGAAAATTACCCTTTTTCAAGCTTTACCTGTCAGCATGTTTCGCAGATCGGAGCGTGCGTTTAGAGGAAGTGACCGTGCGTTTGTACGTCTAAATTATATAGTAAAAAACCCGTCCGATGACGAAAGCATGCGTTTGAGCGGAGCGTGCTTTTGTATGACGTGCGTTTAGGCGGAGACTACTGTAATATTATGAGCTGTTTAAAAAAAAGACCGATTCGTTCAAATGCACGCCTGTGTCATCTCGATTGTTTACCATAAATTTGTGTTGCTGTGTAGAGCCTAGCATACGGCAACTTTTGATTCCGAGGACCAGCGCACAATTTATTACGTAGATCTACGTCAAGACTAGCTTATCATTGTAATAGTGATCAGTCACCGGGGGGGGGGAGACTGTTACGCATTTGTATCTGCGACGTTCAACCCCCGGATCGCTGGTGCCCCTCACCTTTCAATAAAATTTCAAACCTTATTATGGACTAAATTGCAAAACTTCAAATTATCATGGGGAAAAACGGGGGGGGGGGGGGGGTTAGCCCCCTGTAACCCCCCAGAATTTGTTTTTACCACAGGAGGGCCAGGCTCATTTGTGTGATTTTTTTTTTCTAATAAAAACCATCAAATATTTCAATTACTATTAGATCTAGATCTAATTTGCAACGAATAAAATTTTTAAATATATATATTGAGTCAGTATTAGTGTAAACCGGATAAAAAGAGAAGGGCTTTACAAAACCTGAGCATGAGACGGTAGTGAAAGGAAAAGAATTACCAACCCTCGAAAACTCCTATGCCTGTACAACTACAACAACTTCTCACTTTTCTGTTCACAGGTTTTGTGCTAATTCTGACCTCCCTGCTGTGATAGCATTTCAGTCATGGATAGTATTCCTCTTGAGATGGATGATATTTTTGATGAAGATGGCCAAGACTTCAATCCTGCAAGACTTCCTGATTTGGAGGATGAGCTTGAGCCAATGAGAAACATGATGCATGCTTCTGATAATGATGAAGGGGATGAAGATGGTGAACAACCTGCAACAGGTAGGCCTATTTTTATATGTTCAGCAGTTTGTGAAAAAGTGTTCATTGATTTTGATTCCCGACAGAAAAGGGTTGTAATAAACTTTTTGACTAGATCTGTAAGTAAAAGGAAATTTAATTATTGTACTTTTGCTCTTGGCGTTACATCTTTTTATGACATTTATATTTGAGGTCTGGCTGTTTGTTCTTGCTTATTGATTTTTGTATTCTTTGAAGTTGCAGGAGCAGAACTTAAATAATTGAAGTCTTGGAAAAAAATGTCTTCATAGCTAGCAGTAGAACAGTAGACACTTTTGTTTTCACTAGAGTCTGGTTAGCTAGCTCTTTTTGGGAGTGTATGTTTGATATCAATTTTTATCAATAATAAAAGTAATTCAGGTTGTGGAATCCGTATACTGTGTATCCTATGGCATTCTAAATTCATCTTAATGGGAAGTTCTTCGTTCAATAACAATTCAAGATAGAATAATTTAACACTGCTAACAGGTGGATTTTCCAGTTTTCAGAATTTTGACTTTTCATTGCCTCAACATTCTCTTCTCTCAATATTTACGACTAATGAACATGACAGAATAGATGTTGAGATTTCCGGTTCATTTTTCTTAATTTTTAAGCTGCTGGTAAGGAATTTGTGAAAAGCACCATGAAGCTATTTTTGTGTAATTTAATGCCAGTTCAATACAAGGTTGTTTTGATTACATTTCAGATGATCCAGAGTTATTAGCAAAGTTGAAGAGTATGAAAGGAGCCTCAAAGCTCACAGCTAAAAGGACAATGCCCAAATTAGATGAAACACGGTGGGTGATTTTTTCCTTTGCTTGGGTTTTATAAATTGTATTTTATGGAGTGTTTATATTTTTATCTGCCTGGAGACCTAACTTTTCCATTGCTCTAGTACCAGTGTCGCCTGTACATTGTAATTAGAATATCATTGAGAAAAACTAGTTCCATCCTTATTCTAGAGAGAAAAGCAATAATATCTGCCAAACTGATGCCAGCATTCAAGCAATGTAATAAATGTATAATTACTTTATTTTTATTATTGTACTTCTCTGCAGATTGACTGGTGAGCGTGGAATTCCTGTCCTTCCTAAAGTTTTTCAAGACATCCATCTCAAAGGGAAAAATCACGAAGTAAGTTTAGTTAGCATCATCATATAGGTAGGTTAGTCTCAGTCACTTTATTTTTTTTCAATTTGCATGAATCTTCTCAGGAGTCCAGTATATCATTCTTATCTTTGGTACACATGCTTCATTTTCTTTACCAGTTAAAAATTTTTATGTTTGCTGTTTTAACCCTCGTCCTGCGGGGGCCGGGTTTATGTCGCCCGATAAGCCTATTTCGGCACTTCGCCTTCGTTCTGGTCCCTGGCTCACCGCACGCGCGCCGAGCGTCATCTCACGTGAAATTCGGGTCCCGCGTCGGATCCCCATTCGGGCAGGTCAAGTGTGTGTATGCGTCAGTCTGCTTTAGTTTGTGTGCGTTTGTGGCCTTCTTCTAGAACCGCCTGCGTTGGTTTGTAATCAAGGCTTAGTCTCATTCAAAACATGCCAAGTTGGTAGCTCTTGATCTTCGTCCAATGAAATTATAGAAGAAATTGACCCACTTAAACATGAGGAGCTCGAAAGGATAGTCAGGAAATAAGACTTCCGTTTTTCTATAAAAAATCTTTCAAATGAGCTTGATTTTGTATGAAATGATACTATCTGATAAAAAATAAGTTTGTTTGATAGTTTTGAATACCATTGTGCAGGTACAAAGAACAATTTGAGTGCAAAACATTAGGAAATTGACCTATACTATCCCCTTTTGAACCTCAGGTCATTCATAACAACAAGAGCGTCTAGAACGGTTTTTATTCAAATTGGCGTAACTACTCGTAATGTCTTATCAGCTTGTGAGAGGGGGTTATTCATGTGTTTGTAACACTTTATAAATAGAAAGCTATGAAAGATAGAGCGTTATTTTCATCATCGATTAACACACTCCCACGGTATTCATGGCGAAAACACACATTTCCCGGTGCAAGCGCTGTACACCAACAGTACACACTGAGTGACCCCGGCGGCCTGCCCGGAATGTCCGACGTAATCGGTTGTTGATAAGATTCGCATCTCAGCACAGACACAGGACAAGAGTTCAGACTATTTGCACAGCTGAAAAATGTGACATTTTGGGTAGCATATTAATATGATATTAAGAGAGTTGTAAAGGTCTTGAGTCACTCTTGATCTTGTGTGATGTTGGGTCCGGGTTCTCTTCTGTTCTGTAGGCATTCAACATGAAAATGTTCTCTCTGCTGTTCTGTCAAATTTCTTTAATGAAAGTTTTGACTTACTGCGTAGTCAGGCAATTGCAGCTGCTCTACTGCCCACATACATCTGACTTAAATGTCTTGTATCTTCACACCTACCATGTGGTGAATTATTACATATTTCCTTTCCAATTGTTTCAAATTCTACCAGGTGCTCAAAAAGTAAATTATACACTTTTATGTTTTTGTACTGTTTTGTACAGTACAACCTAAATTGTTTGAGCTGTTGTCTCTATTTTCTTTTCAGTTTAGATTTTTCAGATAAAAATTAATAGAGTATGGTGGTTTATTTTTATAAAGTCAGCCTGGGACTCAAGAGACTTTTGAAAGTCGAAAAATTGTGCAGCTCTAATATTCTGGAAATGGAAATATTGTCATGTATATGATTATATAATCAGTTCAGTTTGGTCTCTTAATATATTTTGTCAAATATTTAAGCTAGTCTTACCTTTTGTTACTCCATAATGGTAGAGAGAGATAGCCAAATTTATCCTTTTTTAGACTTTGTGTCTCTGTAGTCATTGTTATGAAGAGGTTCTTGAGAAAACAATAGATACAGTATAGTGGCTTTCCTTGTGTTTTGTCACAGAAGAAGTCATACTGTCCTTGTCCACATCTGTATGAAAATTGGTATAAATGCCAAGCGAATGCCCTTGGGAAATCCTTTTTTTTAACGCTTTATATTTGCCATTGCATTTTATCATTTTCATTCTTTATGTTGCCCTTTTAAAAAAAAGATTTTGTGAGTTCATTAGTTGTCACATTTCAAGTAAACTCCTTTTTTTACCCATGAGACATTTTCAACACACGTCTACAGTTCACTTTAAAGTTATTATATTTTTTTTCTCTTTTCTTTTTGTGTGCTGAAAAATAGGTGGAGGATCTCAAAGCCATAGTGCGACGACTAGAGCACTGGGGTCATCGTCTCTTTCCTAAGATGCCTTTTGCTGAAGTGCTGGAGAGGGTAGAGAGACTTGGGGCCAAGAAAGCTGTCCAGGTTTGCAGTTAAATTCATCCTCTTTCTGCACTGGCACAATCAGTAAAAATATATGAATTATACATGCTGCTGTGCCTGTTTATAAAAGTTTATTGAAACCGAAATTTGTGCATGTTTGTGTGTAGTGGGACTGTAGGATTCATAAATTATTTTTGTTTTGTTTTTTACTCTAGAATAATTTTACTTCTCCCCAAAGTGTGGTTGGGTTTGTTGGGGTTTTTTTTCGGGGCAATCTGATGAGTCTCCTCCTTCTGCTTCTTTTCACTGTTAGCAAAATTTTTCTCTTTATGTTTCTGGCAAAAATATGGCTGTTGTAATGCTGATTCAGCATAAACTACTCAACAGTATTCTCAACTATGCCTTGACGTTACAGAAAACTTTTCCACAGCATATATTTTAGTGACAATTTCAGCCACCATAGAGGTCGGGAGTGTTTTTGCTGGTGTTAAATTATGATTAAAACAAAAATGTATTTGTACCTAGAGGAGTACCTAAATGTTTTCTCATTTTTATTTTCTGCTTATTGAATTGTTGGCATGCTTTTCAAATGTGCTTAGCCCAGAGAGCAGATTTTTTTAAAGTATAGAGAAAACTTTTCATGCTGCCAAAATTGCTCTTACAGAATGTATCTTTTTCTTTCTCTATAAGTGGGGGGGGGGGGGGGGGCACAATCGTAGACCCACATGTATTTCTGACATAAAGGTGTCCTCACTGCCCAGAAAGAAAGGTATGGATTAAGTGCTTCAGGGTAGCTTTAATAAGCTCGTTGTTCCCAGCTTTATTAAGAGAATGATATAGTAAATCGAGTTTTTGTTTCACTTTGTAATTTGTTTTATTGTTACACAATCAAGCATGGACTCTCTTTCATTTCCTTAGACCTGTGTAAAGAAGATCCGTCTTGACATGCTAGAGATGCCAGAGGACCGTGAGGATGAAGATGATGTGCAGAGAGCAGGCGATACTCAACAAGAAGTTCAGGTACTGACTAAAGTCATCATCAGTTAATGTGCACGATTCTTTTATACAAGTTATGAACAAGAAATTGAAATGAGGTGTCTGAAGCTAATTCACAGCATGGCTTTTGAAATCCTGTTTTTATAGGGATAAAGGATCTCCCCGTTGTCTAGTGAGAGATGATATAACTCTCTAGATTTAGACATTTTGAGAAAAAGGCTTCTAGAGACAACGGTAATGATCATCCTAAATGATTTCACAAAAATTAAGATTTTTTCAAAAAAACTCTTTCACATCCTTCATGTTTTTATTGTGTTGATTGTTGGCTTATCGTTTATTGGTTTGTTTGTTTTTGGTGCGAATTCTGCAGAGTGCTTTAAGCTTTTTAGTCTTGCCCTTTTGTAGTTTATGTTTATATGTCTTGATGTATGGTGTGTATGTCCTTTGATGCAAAATATTGGGAAAACTTCTGTAGAAATGTTCAAGTGTATTCTTCTCTGCAGGTTGATGAAGATGAAATTGAGGATTTATTGCGTGAACAAGAGACTTATGACAGACAACATGGCCATTCTGATGATGATGACCCATTCCACACGACGTTTCAAACAGAGCAGTCTGCAAAGTCTGAATCAAATGAACAGGTACAATGTTTTCCATTTTTTGAAGCATACACATACTTGATCTCAGAATGGAGGCTCTCGTGGCCTAGAGGTTAAGGTGTTGGCCTCTCATTCAAAGGTCCCAAGTTCGAATCCGGGTAGCGACCGAAAAATTTTCCTCTCTAAAACTGTCTCCTTTCACCTCCTTTCCTGCTCTCTAGTAATGTTCTGTCAACTGCTTTCGTGTCCTCTTTCTGCCCCCACCCCCTAACCTCCTTTGCCCCTTCCTCTTGGCTTCTGACTCTTTCAGCAGCCTTTCTATCAGGGTTGGGTTGATTTAAATCAGTTGATTTTTTAAATTTAAATCAACTTGATTTTTTAAATAAAAATCAGTGATTTAAATCAATTTTTTTTAAATTTATTTTTATTCAGTTTTTACACATTTCAACATTCAGAATTCCTTTCCTTGGTTTCATAAAACAGATATAAGGTTTAGTAGACTAATATAATCATGCTTAAAAGTCTGCTTTCCCCCCTTTCACTGTAAAATAATACAGTATTCAATTTACTTTTTTTTTCATAATTGAAATCAGAGCTGGTTTGATTTAAATCAGTTGATTTTTTAAATTTTAATCAACTTGATTTTTAAAATAAAAATCAGTGATTTAAATCACTTTTCAAAAAATGTATTCAGCTTTTACATATATTTAAACATTCAGAATTCCTTTCCTTGGTTTTATTAAACAGATATAAGGTTTAGTAGACTAATATAATCATGCTTAAAAGTCTGCTTTCCCCCCTGTCACTGTAAAATAATACAGTTCTCAATTTACTTTTTTTTCATAATTGAAAACCAGGGTTGGGTTGATTTAAATCAGGTCGATTTAAATCAGTTGATTATTTAAATAAAACTCAGTGATTTAAATCAATTTATTTCTTTTAAAAAATGTATTCTGTTTTTATATCTTTAAACATTCAGAATTCCTTTCCTTGGTTTTATAAAACAGATATAAGGTTTAGTAGACTAAAATAATCATGCTGAAAAGTCTGCTTTCACCCCTGTCACTGTAAGTAGTAAAATAATTACTGTATTCAATTTACTTTTTTTTCATAATTGAAATGAGCTTTTTCTTTTTATACAAACACAAGCGCGCACACACACACACACACACTGTAATAAAATGCAAGTTTATCTATGCATAATTACCCTCCCCCCCCCTTCCTTTTAGACTGACATTTTCTTCATTTTTTGTCTGTAGGCATAATTCACTGGATATAGCAGATTAAGGCTTTCTAAAATTGCAGTTGCTTAAATTAATCATTAGTTAAAATAAAGACAATGCATTTTGCACTAAAAGAACTTACTTTTAGCCACCAAAAATCCCAAACTGAGTCGGCATTTTTTTTAAAATAAAAATTTTTTTTTAAATCCGATTTAAATTTAAAAAATCTTATTTAAATTTAAAAAATCGATTTTTTTGATTTTTATAAAAAAAATCACCAACCCTGCTTTCTATTGCTACCTTGTAGGTAGCGTAAACACAGCCTCGTGGGCACTCGCGGCCTTCCGACCACGTGGTATCGGTGAAATCGGGGTAATTCCGATTGCTGTTTCTTTGCTCTTTCGCTATAAAACACCAAATGCCGTACACCCTGTAAAAGTTCAGCTTTTCCTCGTTACAATGGTGTAAGTTGTTTATATGTCCGATTATTAGGAGCTGGAGAATCGCCGACGAAAGCGAAGCCCCTCGCGGTCGGAATGCGTGGTCGGCCGGTTAAAAAATTGACACGCGTGCATTGAAATGCTTCGCGGAACGAGGGATGATTAAAGACCTTCTTTTCATTGGCGGAGAACTGCAGAGCTTTGAACGAGCTTTCCCGTAGTATATATTTTGCCTTTGGCGTTTAAATAGAAATAGAAAGCTTTTAAAAATACTGTCAAAACGTTTAAAGATCACTTTTTACACAAAATATGTAAAATACCGGCTTAAAAAATGTATCCATCAAAAGATCAGTTTATTTTCTATTAGAATAAAGTAATAAGCTTGGAATTTTTTTTATCAATCCTTCCGCGAGACTCAGAAAGCATGTGACCCCGCATGCGGGGTACACTACAGTATAGAGCCGACTCGCTCGCCGCAGGCGCCGGGCGGGTCAACGTTTTTGTTTCATGCGATAAAATACTGATTTGTAATGATCTCAGTCTTGAAAAAAATTAGGCTCCATATATTTGTTATAGTGATTGTACTCTGTTAATGTGAAGATGCTTAGTGTACTCTTTTATTGTCTGTCAAACTTGGGGTTTGATTTGACAGTGATTGACTTTAACAAATTTGATCAAATTTTAAACAACTCCCATTTTCTTAAAAATTGACTGAGAGGTTAAAGAATGACACCAAAATGCTCAGTGGATATAGGCCTTTCAAATGGAACAGATAAATTTGGCATACAGCTACTTTGAAAATTTAGTTTCTGGTACCTACTCCTTGGCTCCTTCTTACTGCTGTCTTCCTGCCACATCCCTGATCTTTTGGTTGGAAGGATCTACACCTAGCCTTCTCGGACAAAGGCAAAAAATCTCGGAACACCCATGTGCGAATTGCAGGCGTTAAAGATCCCTTGATGGTCCAAAATCAATAAGAGTAAGCTTCAGCCGCCACCTGGGCTAAATTCAAAATTTCCTACCAACTGAAAAAGTCTAATGTATCCTCGCATTCATTTGACATCATGCAGTTGCAAGCGCCGTAAAACACTTACCAAAAAAAATATATAAATCTCAGAATGCTATCTGAAAGTGGAAACCAATCTTTTGCATTTGAAGACATGTCTTTCTGATTTTCTTAGTACTTGTGTGGTTTACAAGTTCACATTTTAGAAAAAGGTTTTAGCTGTTGTATATTTCATAATAACTCTGTCACATAACAACTCAATGGAAATTTGTTGAATTCCTCCAGTGCAATTTGAGATTTAGCATATGGTTCATCCTGTCTTTGGTACTTGATCAGTTCAATGGTGATCTTAAGCAGAAAAAAAAGCAGTGAAAGGATGAATGATGCTGATGTAGAAATATCTGAACAAGAAGGATGTATCTTATCAACTGTATACTTTTTACACCATTGTAGGTGGATAGCTTTGTCATTTTCTTAGAATGTGTTCCAATTGTTATTTCATGTTAACATCATTGCTAATGAATTGTGATAAAATCGTTTGAAATTTTAGAAGTACGGTGGACTCTGTGTAACACAGAGCAGTTTAACTCGAAATTCATGTTAACGTACAAGGATTTTGAATCCCCGTTATATTCCCTCTTGATTGTATGCATTGCAACTTCCAATATTATGGCCAAAAAATTCCAGCATATCTGATTAATTGAAGAAATTTTGGGCCATTTCATCATTCCTCTGCCTAGCTTTTATTTAACCCTCAGTAGCCTACCGTTGTCAGTACACTTAACACAACATTCTTTCAAGAGGAGGTGCTCTATGGCTAAGACCCTACTTTTAGTTTTCTTTCCCACTTCCTGTGTGCAGAAGGTGGTGAGAGAGTGGGTTTGTTTCACTGGACCAGGAGATGAGGCACTGGGAAACTCCCAACCATTCCTAGTTTAAGTAATTAATAATATTTTCGTCATTTTTTGTTCTTATTCAGGAAAAAACAGTGATCTCTGATGATGTGAAAGCAAGAATTGAAAGAAACAAGCAACTAGCAATGGAAAGAAGAGCGGCAAGGCTTGCAAAGACTACAGATGGTATGCTTTTTTGTACCCCTTTATACTTTATTACTTGTGCCTGGCGAGGGTGGAGGCTCAATGTGGTCCGTGGCTATCCACGAACAGTCAAACCCAGTAATACCGCCAACCTTGGGACGAGCATGAAGTTGGCAGAACAATGGGGCTGTGGTGTAAAGTGGTTTTAACACTTTGCCATCACAAGGCTCATATAGTAAAAATCCTTGCCATCAAAGACAAAGGGTGGGTGGTTGGCTGGTGCTCTGGTGTGGTTTGCTTTTTCTGTCCTATCAAACATCTATCGTCCTTTTCTCCCCTTCTTCTTTTTTATGTTTGTTACTCTCTTGTAACACCTCTAATCTTCTGGCGCTCATATGACCTTATGCAGTTACGAGCGCCGTAAAACCTCTACTAAAACTAAACTAAAACTTAAGACAAAAAAGGCATTTGGGGGAAAATCCAAAGAAACTGGGTGGAAAACATCGCCGATCGTTAATGCTGCCCTCTGTTAAATTAAAAGCACAGACTGCCCAAAGTCAAAGGAAATGATTCTGCAATGACAAGACGAAGGACAATATTCTGATTTAGTTCTCTTTGTCCAAATGTAGATGAGATAACTTTGGTCTTCCTGCATGGGACGATTACTGCCTTGTAGAGTGGAAAAGAAGATTATTACTTATCAATGCTCAGCTGCTCAGTGGGTTCTGTGCACCATGTGTACTGTGTACCTCTTGCAGCCAGTTCGCTGGCGGTGTTACAGGGCAAATCTACATTAGTTTACAGTGCTTCCATTCTTCGGTATTTCTACCGAAATTACTTTCTGCTAGTTTTGTACTTGTTCCTCCATCAGTATCAACTCCCTCTGTAAAAATTTGCAACAGCGTAGGGCTACCGAAATTCCGTAGCAAAAGACCCGTACTCGGCTTCGTACCGTCTTGTAAGTATAAGTTACTGATATTTACGGTAATTCTCTCAGCAATAGTTTGTTACGGTATAGAAACCTGCGAGATTGCGCATTTCCAGCCATCGGCCATTAATCCGCTATGCCCCATGCATTCATTGCGGGTTGGTCGGCAGTACATTTTTTACCTGCAGATTGATCAAAATCTGGCGAACTCTTTGTGCCACTTTCCTCCTTTCTATCATTCACTCATTCCTTCTGTCTATCTTCGGATTGTTGCCGCGGCGGGAAAATCTGCGCGTTGATCAAGTATATATTGACTTGTGATCTTAGAAAATTACTGTCAAAAAGAAACTTTTTCGCAAATTTATTGTCTAGATCTAGAGAAATTATCAGTTCGAAGATTCTACGGCACGGGAATGCGATAAGGGCTGCGATGATAGAAATTTGTGCTAAAACTACTAAAATCAAGAATAATTCGAAGTGGTGTTCCGAGGTTGTGACATGCGACATTCAGACGTGAAAATTGAGGAAAATTAAGGTATATGCTAGGTAACTGTATAATTGTGAAGGTACATATTTCTATTCATTATTCCCAGGTTTTTCTTCTATCAATGGTGCGATGACAAATTAATTGAATTATAGTAGCAATGGAAGGGAAACCTGCTTTTAAACATTGCCAGCAATAGAAAGATATGTGTGAAGAATTCAAACAAGACAAAATCTTGGTGAAAAAATAGGTAGTATGGGTTGTTGGCAATCTCTTCAAACAGGCTCCCAAATGCCATTTTCAACCCTCTAAAAGTACTAAATTTTGAATTCTTCGGGTGAACCCCCACGGGACGCTGTCCCTGGACGCTGCTGGGGGCCTATGCGGCAGAATTTTCCTTACTTTTCAGCTTCAGCTGGTGGAAGCACTGGATTTAGTTCTCTTTGTCCAAAAGTAGATGAGATGGACTTTGGTCTTCCTGCATGGGACGATTACTGCCTTGCAGAGTGGAAAGGAAGATTATTACTTATCAATGCTCAGTGGGTGCTGTGCACCATGTGTAGTGTGTACCTCTTGCAGCCAGTTTGCTGGCAGTGTTACAGGGCAAATTTACATTAGTTTAGAAAGGACCGTACTGTTCAGGCAGTTGGTGGATGGCGATTTAACCCTTTAAGCCCTTGACACTGGTGGCCGGTAAAATTGCCTGTATGCCTAGCCACCGGTACCCTATCCCCAACCCGGCCTGCCTGAGAAAAAACGTGTACAGAAAACAGCGTTTACTACACAAGACTTTACTGATTATTTTGAAGATTGTACTGAATTAGATGTTGGCAATGACAAGGACAACACCCTGAGTGGGATGTGGAATGTGATTCTGACATTCTTATGAATGTTAGTAATAAATCGCTCCAGAGCTCAGGCAGTGGGGCATGGTATCCTCAGCAGGTCAGGACTCAAGGGTTTAAGAGACAAATAATGTGTTTATATACATGTTTCTTTTGTGCCATGGCAAAACCTGGTGGTAAACTGGACTGCTGTATACCTGGGTTTGACTGTACGTTTTAATGACAGGATAAAATGGGAACATCATTTCAACCTTTTAGAAATACATAGTTTGGTCAAGTGAGCTGGGATATACTTGTTTTCTTATATAGTTTTTGTCATTTTTGGGATCTGATCTCTTAAGTTGCCTGTTTGATTTTTTTAATAGATTTTTTTTACTGGTAGTAGGCATTGACATTTTGTGTTAGCTGTTATTTTTTTCTACCACATATACCTTTCCTAGCAGTTAACAGCTGACCATTATTTTGTCATTATTGGTTTTCAGCCGTTACTTTTATGACATTTTTGTTCTCCTTTCCTGTTTTTTTTTTCCTTTTAAACAGAAAAAAATGTTACCAAGTCATAGAAAATATCACTTTATTTCCAAGTTTGAAAACCTTTAACAGGTTGTCTTTCTGAGCCTGTTCAGTACTACGTTAATAATGAACAAATACTTTAACTTCTCTACCATTGTGATCAGTTTTGGGATCTAAAAATAAAAATATTGTTTATTTAGTTTATTACAATGAGTACTTTAGTAATTTTTTCCCCTCGGCAACTGATCACTATTACAATGATAAGCTAGTCTTGACGTAGATCTACGTAATGAATTGTGCCCTGGTCTATGGAATCTAAAGTTGCCGTATGCTTGGCTCTACACAGCAACACAACTTTTTGGTAAACGATCGAGATGACACATGCATGTGCATTTGAACGAATCAGTCTTTTTTTTACACAGCTCATAATATGCAGTCATTTCAGGCACTACTTGTGACTTCTCTTTATACATTACTTGCTCAGAGCCTGTAATTATCTACATAAAACCTTGTGTTTGCTATAACGAAAACTGGGATTCAACGAGATTTTAGGTCAGGCCCGGCGACCTCGTTGAATCCGAGTTCCACTGTACTATTGACTAGCTGTCATTGTAGTCTTCTGTTGTGGGTGGTTGGCGGCTGCTCTGGTGTGGTTTGCTCCTTCTTTCCTATCAAACATCTATCGTCCTTATCTCCCCTTCTTCTTTTTTATGTTTGTTACTCTCTTGTAACACCTCTAATCTTCTGGCGCTCATATGACCTTATGCAGTTACGAGTGCCATAGAACCTCAACTAAAAAAAAGTCTTCTGTTACATTTGTCCTAATGTTTGAATATTTTTCCCTCTACATGCATGTTTATTCTGTTCGGAACATGAACAAATGAGTGAGAACTGAAGTATTTAACAGGCTATCATATCATTTACCACAGGGAACTGAGATAAAGCTTTTGAGCGTACATAGTGGGTGGTTGACGGATGCTCCGTTGTCCTTTCTTATTAAACATCTATCGTCCTTATCTTTCTTCCTTCTTTTTTGTGTTTGTTACTCTCTAATCTTGTCACACCTGTAATCTTTGGCACTTATTATATGACCAAATTGTGTTGCTATTGCAAGTGCTGTAAAATGCTTACTAAAACAAAACAAAGAGTGTACATGCCAGCAATGGAGGTATTGTTAAGTTAGTTGAGGTTTTGATCAAAAGGGGCATGAGACTGTAACTACTACTAACTACTATAAATTAAGGTAAACTCTCACTTTAATTTTTTCAGGTACAAGCATCACCACAGGGGTTGTGTCTGATCACAGTAGCAGTTCAGGAACACAGCCTCAACAAAATGGTCAGCTGTCATTAAATGAAGAACCAAGCAACATGGATCTTGTGGTTGGAGATACTTCCTCAAAGAAAGCTGAGAAAGTGGATGAACAAGATAATTCACTGTGTGATAATGATGTTGATAATTTAGAAAGGGAACACAGTGAACGAGTGCAAGATACTTCTGAAACCGAATTGCAATCAGAGGGAAGAGAACTTGAGAAACAGACAGATCAGAGTGTACAGGATGAGAATGATAGTATTGCTGTAGCGTGATGTTCTTGACCTTCAGAGTTGCCAGTAATCTTTTACTAGTGCTTTTGGAAGAGCACCATTAGTTACATTGACAGTCTCAGAGGGAAACAACTGTGTTTTGGAAAAGTGCCCTTCATGTGATCGGGAGTAGGTGAGCGCTGGGTGAATTGGCTTTAGTGACCTAATGATTATGACTCTGAACTAATTTCACCTTCGTTCAGACTGGACTCTCTGTGTCTGCATCAGGTGACTGTGTCACCTCCTCATGTCCTTTGACATAAGCCAGTAATAACTCCTGTCCCATTTTGTGTTATGCATATTGGGCTGGGCTCTGGTTCTTTGATCTTAGCTCTTTATCTCCGGAGGGGTTTTTCCCCCACTATGCCCAAGATCTCTTTTGGTATGAAACCTGAAAGTGACATAGGCCTACATGTCACTAAATTGGTCCTTAAATCAAAAGAAATGAACCTATTTTGATAGTTATTTTTATCTAATGCAAGAACTTCCAGTAAAAGAAATCTGTTTCCGGCAATTGCTAAAAATGAATATTACGTAGTTGTCGTAAAGGAATGTGAGCGAACTAATGCCAGTAGATCACCGGCACAGCGGTTCAGACTGCAAGCTGCTGTGAGCTGCATGCCAGAGATAAGGAGTTTAATGGCTTTGATGGAAGTTGACATTTTTCTTTCCTGGGGTGAAAAGAGTGGGTGGAAAATTGGGGAAAGTTTAAAAAAGGATTAATTTCCCAATAAAGCCTGTTCTGAATAATGATTTTCCGTCGGAACCTTTTCTCCTCTTTATAATTGCCCTTGGAGACTTCCCTTCAGAATGCCTCTATGTATTGAATCAGTGATATAAAAGCATTAATTTTTTTTTCCAATTAGTGCATACAATCAAACTTCAGTGTACTGCCAACATTGGATAAGCATGAAGTTTGAGTTATAATGGGGTTGGTTGTATATAATAGGGTTCTAATGCTGTCATCTGTTTAATAGCCCTGACTGTCCAACGTCAAGGGAAATGATTTTGCTGTGTCATCTGTGTTAGAAAAGTCGTCTTTTTGTCAGCCAGTTGCATAGCCGAGTATTCTGTCTCTCTCTCTCTCTCTCTCTACTCTTTCTTTCTGTGTTTGTGTGTGCACAAATTCAAATTAAAAATAACATGTACTGCCAAATTAGAAGCTCTTTGTCATATATATGCATGCTGCTTGTGAAATCCACAAGGCAAGAGTGAATTGTGCTTGCAATGCAAATTACTTAATTGTCAGATAACAATAAAATAAAAATTGTTGACATCATAAGTTTGTTTCTTGTTGTTTGTAGGTAGGGCCTATTCAGATCTGTAGGAGCTTTTTGTCCTGAACTTATTTCGTTGGTAGCTTTATTAAATTCCTGGTACATACTGTAGACAGTTCACTGTCAGCCTTGTTTAAACTTAAACCGTAGGTACTTATGGGTGAAAATAAATATTTCATGTCATCCCTGCCACAAACATTATATTAGCTCAGAAGTGTGAATTTTGATGATGAAGACCCCTAAAACAATTAACAGCTCACGGGTGAAACTGATTCATCTTAGCTGTAGAAGAGCTGAGCCTGACATTGGTGTCTACATGGGACTCAGAAACAAGAAAAAAACAATACTAACGAATAGTAATAATAGAAGAAAAAAGAATATTAACACATGAATTAATTATTTGAAGAACAGCAGACAACAGCTCAAATGTACTGAAACACGGAAAAATGCTGATATTTTCATAATTTTAATACACCATATTTCTGGAATGTTCTTCCATTGTAAACCTCTTCCACCAGTCACACAAAATACTGTCACAAAAGTTCATTTCCACTAATGTTACAGAGCATGATTAAATATAAGACGAAAAAGCTTATTCATACACGTGAATTTTCTTCAAATGTCCCGATTTAGTATAGATAGAATAGAAAGCCTCACAAAGTTTCTCCCATAACCAACGCAGCATTGGAATAATTGTATTAATAGACTACTCTATTCCAAGGGACTGTTGATTGCCCTGCAACATGAATATCATATGCTTAGATTAATCAACAAACTTATGTGACCTATTTATTAATCACCACATGCATTGTTGATACGAACATAAGATGTGTGTCTTAACATGAACTGGGGTCAGGAAAGGTTGGACAAGCGGCCAGTACCAGTGTGTGTGTATATGGGGGGGGGGGGGGGGTAGAACGTCAGCAGAGATATAATGTGAGTAGTGACATAGTCATAAATTTTTTCCTTGGTCTTTAGCTTCTGAACAGTGACCAACATAGATCTACATTTGAACTGTGCGCTGGTCTGTGGAACCAAACATTGTCGTACGCAAGTCTCTAGGCTACACTGCAACTTGTTTGATTCATCAGAAGTCATATATGACAACGGTGTGTATGTTAGAGGGAATTGGCCTACTTAAAACAGACGATGCTGGCACCTGCAATTATTGATCATAAAGCTCACATTACTTTCAAAGAACTATTGGAATCATTGTGGAAGTGGAGGTCAGGCCTGACAACTTCATTGTATCCAAGTTCAACTGCCTCCATCCCATTGCCAAAATAAATGTATCATCATAATTTATGAAGTGTTATACCTAACCTATTACTCTTAAGTTAATACCTTAATCTAACATCCAAGAAGTTAAGAAATTAAGACTAACATATTGCTTACCATGATCACATGCACTGATATGAAACAACTTTTCATAAATCAAGGATCATAGACTGTTTCTCTGAAGAAACTGTCAGTTAAGTGTAGTATTGAATTCCTTGAACTGAACACTTACTGGGTAAGAACCTCTTGATAAGAAAAGAGAAAAAGTTTCAGAAGGAACCCTTATGATGCTATTACTGATATAAATATATATGCATATAAATGTTGAACCCAGAAAACAAAAAGATATACATACTAGTCAAATGCTGATCCTGGCTCTTAATATTTCTAATCTATAATAATCCTCATAAAAATGAAATGTCCTGTTTAATAAAATGTATACATTGTTCGTCTGAAACCATGGAAAAATAACAATGAAGATACAGCATTTATTTTTGTATCGATGCAATCATTAAATTCTAATGGATCATACAGAAACAACACTCTTTAATTTTTTCCTCAGTCCTAAAGTACACCGTTCTATGTTACTTTTACTAAAAAATTATAGTAGTTCTACAACAGTGGAACTCAGATTCAACGAGGTCGCCGGGCCTGACCTAAAATCTCGTTGAATCTGAGTCTTCGTTATAGCAAACACGAGGTTTTGTGTAGGTAATTACAGGCACTGTAACTTTAATGTATAAAGAGAAGTCACAAGTAGTGCCTGAAATGTCTGCATATTATGAGGTGTGTAAACAAAAAAAAAGGCCGATTCGTTCAAATGCACACGCCTGTGTCATCTCGATTGTTTACCAAAAAGTAGTGTTGATGTGTAGAGCCTAGCATACGGCAAATTTTGATTCCATAGACCAGCGCACAATTCATTACATAGATGTACGCCAAGACTAGCTTATCATTGTAATAATGATCAGTTGCCGGGGGGGGGGGGGGAGACCGACGCGTTTGTATCTGCGACGTTCAACGCCCGGACCGCTAGTGCCCCCCCTCCCCGACACGCACACACAATCACACGTGTGCAGGCCGCCCATCCGAGCCCGACACACGCTAGAGTAGACACGCGTGCGGGCCAACAACGCATGTGTTGGTATGAAAAAAAGACCGCAGATTGGTCGCATGCAATCGGCTAAGTGAATAATGGTTCATGATGCAGGTGCAATGGATGGTTTCCGGAAACAGATAAAGTTCATTCTGAGAGTAAAATGAGCGAAGCCACATCTGCGGGGGCTGTTCACCCTGGAAAGCACTCGTTGAATCCGAGCTCGCTGATTTAAGTGCTTGTTGAATCCGGGTTATTATTATTGATTTTAAAGAAGAAAAAAAATGGGGAATCTATCTCATCTTGTTGAATCCGAGTTCCACTGTAATACTAATAGAGTACCTGTATCTCAAATCATTTCAAGTATTTGAGTTTCATTAAACTAGAATTTTTCCTGTAGGCATTAACTAGGTACCACAGCTCTTCCATGATTAAAACAAAGAGAAAAGTAAGAATAAAACATTTTCAAGAAAAATGCTTTCATTAAGACATTCTGACACAATTGCAAATTCACTAAGCCTGTCTTGAATGTGAAATAGGCCTACTTTACAATTTACAAAAACTTTGTTGACTATCAGTTCACAGCTAAAATGAGGACAGGACCATATCTGAAAGACTTTGTTATCATTTCCACCACTATTGCGGGTATAAAATGTACTGCGATGGTACAGAGTAGAGTAATCGGCACTTTACGTCATAGTGCTAGACCCTACAGTCAGTCAGCATCCGAATCATCCAGACCCAAAATTTCATCTTCATCTCCACCAATGGCTTTCCAAAATGAAACAGCAACCTTAAACAGGAAAGGATAAAACAAAACAGGGTTTTATTTAGTAAGACTATCTTTCCAACTTAATCACCAGATTCATCTACAACATAATCATGTAGATTACGAACATATACATTCTACTGTAACTTACTGTAAGGAAAAATACACACATCAAACAAAACTAGATACATGAAAGTTTCTATAGATCTGTACTTCTATCCATTATGAAAGTGTAAACAAGGACATCTGGAGGGCATGCATTTATTAAAGGTTTTTTAAAGATATCTAGTCTTCTCCTTTGAACATGACTTGAGCACAGACAAGACCTTGAATGTAAAATCAGGATGGAGGAGCACTTTAACTTTTGTCGAAATTATCAACAATTTAAAGATGATAAAGCTATTAGTTTTCCGTAAAATTTGCACATTCCATTGTCCAGTACATCAGCAGTTTGCAAAAAAGCTGCTTGACATTCACAGCAGTTGCAGTGAAAAAATTTTTAGCCTAAGTGAAAAATATTTACAAACATCTATACAAAAGCAAATCGTTTATGAAGACATCTCACCTTTTCTGCATATTTCTTCCGTTCATCGACTGGCATTGTATCTGCCTTGTCTGCAAGGAACAAAAGAGTTATCAAATTCTTCAAACATGAAAGAGTGGCCACATTTCTCTTTCCAAAAGGACACCCAGTACAATAAACCCAGAAAATTGTGAATAGATGACTCATGGCTGAGACTGCATCTTGTAAGAGCTACATCATCATCTCCTGCCACTTCGGGTAAGCACTTTACCTTTATATTCTTCAATCCCAAATGACATTCATAAAATGAAATCATACTCACTGTCACTGACCAACCGAATTGTACAATAACTTGTTTTAGTTTTAGTATGAGTATTACATTTACGACACTTGAAACACAAATAAGTTATATAAGTGCCAAGATTAGAGGTGTTACTAAAGTATAACACACAAAGAAAAGGAGGAGAGATTAGGACGATCGATGCTTGATAGGAATAGGAAAGAAGGAGCAAACCAGATAATAACTTAGAATCAGGCCATTTCCTAATGAAATGGTTGAGAAAACTGTCAGAAGAAGTAAGGTTTGATTAAGTTGATAATAGTAACCATCATCAGTGAGGAGTATATAATATCGATCTTTACATTTATGGTCACATTCTCCAAACGAGTAACATAGCTTGCAAGAAGAATCAAGACTGCTTGAGAGGTACAAGTCTTGATTTAGGAAAAAAAGACTGTTTTATTGTGAGTTGTATGAAAAAATCATTGTCAGATTATATAGCCTCATTATCGGTGCAAAGAAAGACAGGCATGACAATCCACAGAAAAGACAAGAATAGTTACCTTTCATGACTTTCAACTTCATAAACAGTTGCTCAAATTCTTCCACCCCAATGTCGTCTTCAGAAAGAGGAGCATCTGTAAAAACAATTTTAAAGACAATGATGATTATTTGTTAAATTGGAATAAAGACTTTCCAAGTTCCTGTTCATGATTTTCTTAGGTGATATTGCAACCCAAAATCAACAAAACAAATCATCAAGATTTCATTTGAATTTTCTCATTTTCTACCACATCCATCACACAAAATAGTTGTTTAAATCTAAGGCACAGAGGAACAAAGGCAGATATTTGAGAAAATGTGTGAAGATGGGATGGATAAGGAAGAACTGCAGTGGTCAATCAGAGAGAAATAACAAACAGGAAACTCGAAAATGTTCCAACGCACTACATTTCTCGATATTTAAAGTGATCAACAGTCCAAATCAAAAACATGGAAGCAAAAATGCAAGGATTACCCTGCAATAAACAAACTTTTCATAAAGTAAGGACTGTAAATTGTTAGTTTCAAAGTCACAGACTTATCTAACAGAAGACTAAAAACAGTGAAAACTCATCCTCATTAAGAACATCAAAATGTCAGTTCCGTTTACCACTGTTTTGGGATTAACCATGTTCAGCTTAAGCAGACTTTACAGTATATACCAAGTGAAACAATTAAAAATCAATGGTAAATGCATCTCCACATTAACAGTAAAAGTGTGTTGCAGGCGGGACAAACTCCTTGGTCACTTTGATATTCCTGACTGACATTTTGCTAGTCTCTCCCCCCCCCCCCCCCCCCCCCCCCAGCCTTCCCCATGTAATCATTTTGTTCATGTGATTTTCTGTGACTCTAACAACAACCAATACGAGATCATAAATAAAGCATGGTACCTGTTTGTGCACTGTCTGCCAGAAGAGCTTTCCAGTTGATGTCATCAAGAGGCATTTGTTCATTAGCACTTGATCCCCCTCCACTGTCTCCGCTGTCTGCCGACTTGTTGGATGTGGAAGCATTGCTGGACTGCTGTACGTTCTCTTCATTCCCTGTTACAGCACCAGTAGAATTATTGCACACTGATTCCTTATTACTGCTCATGTCGGTCTTCTTTACATTGTCAGTTTCTGAGCCTGCATCATGTGAAGATAAGTCTGTATCTGTGTCTTGGTTTTCAGAATTGCAAGTGACACCTTCGGTTAAGGAATCTTCATTATTTTCACAGGCACTGGTTTCAGAACCAGAATTAAGCACAGCATTCGCATTTTGCTGGTTAATCAAATGCTGCTCTTTCATCATTTGGCGCAAATACGGGCTCTGCACTGGAGGACTGTCTGCAACGAGATAGAATAAAAAATTCTGATTATTTCATGGATTTTGCCTCTCACACAATTCTATACATGTACATAAGAGACATCTTAAACTGTATTACTCCCACAGTGTAGAGAACAATCTCATCAATTCAAAGTCTGAGTAACGGCAATTTACTACACTTTGCCCTTATATATCACATTGGCAGACAAAAAGAGTACTTGTAACATGCCAAATTCCTTCAGGCTGGACAATTGTTTCATAAAAAGTAAGTAGTTCATAAAATTATAAGTTACTTAAATTTCAAAAGAAAACTTTGTGCACAAGGGACACACATACCTTTCATTTCCATATTTGGCCAGGTATGAGCATTGAGTGCTTGAATAATTCGTGCCATTCCTGTTGTTTCTGGGAAGTCATCATCTGAAAAAGAAAAAACAAATTTCAATTCATGTTTGCTGCTACAAATATTCATGAGACATCATCTAAAGAATAAACTGTCTCTCAAAGCACAAAATACCATTATGAACAAACACAAAACACACACACAAATATGATTCTGTAACGTAATAATGCAGTAATATCTTTACCAGGCGGTCCCCACCCCCCCCCCCCCTCCAAAAAAGAACAAACCTCTACAACTTTTGGAAAAATATATCGATAAATTCACATAACATTCGCAGTAACTTAGAACATAAACAATACATTTACAGTGCCTTTACAGTGATGCTTAGACATTGAGTACCAGCCTTCAGTAGCGTATTCTTATTTGGCAAACAAACTGCAAATCATTCTGCTTCTACTAAACTATTTGTGAAAATCTGCATCATATATAGGGAAAATAGTTACTCTACAGACCTAAATTGATAAAAATATTGCTCTCAATAATTGGTGAAAGAAAGACTATTTGCAAGGGAACAAGAAAACAAAAGGGGAGGGGTAGAGACAAATGAAAGATGAGGTCAGTTTTACAAGATTACTAATCAAGTCACAAAGTCAAAGAATATGTCTCACGTTAATGTCAGTAGCAATGATCAAGGTCAAATAGAAAAAATGCATTTTTGCTTGAAACTTTACTGGACCAAACATTGAAATAACAATCAGGCAAACGGAGCCACATGTGGCTGAAGGTAGAGAAGATTGCCCACAATAGCTTCTTGGCAGCCTACATCCAATACCAGGGTGAAAGAGGCAGATGATGATGAAACATTGAAAGGTGGCTGGGGTCTTGGGCCATCTCCTAAATCATCATACATTGTTCTACTCTGGATAAAAGTTCACTGTTACATAATTGATTACATCTTAATGACTCAAACCAAAATACATTTTTTTTAAACAGGTGTTTTAGCATTGGGAAACAAATATTCTTAACAGTTTAGTGAAGTTCCATGTTTACAAATTTACTAGTGGCTGAGTTATCCATACTAGAGTAACATGCATCTCGCATAGTCAGAAAATGGGCGACAGCTACGGTCCTGGGGAACTGAAAGTCAAGTGTGAGGCCGGTCCCATATGTGTTAATTACACTGAGCCTATACTTTAACAATACCTTCCACTTTAGATAAAATTGTATCAAGGGAGAGAGTCAGTTTCTATTTTCTTCTCGGCATTGCACAGGTTTTCATAATAAACAAGTTTGACACATTGCAATAATCACAATGGAAGCCGAGACATTCTGATCTGATGGGTTTCTGCCTTCAAAATCTAATATTTAATACAATATATGATAAATCGTGTTCAGGGCCCTAAAAGACCCATAAAAAGCTACAAAATAATACCCTTTATGAGACAGGAGGGTTTCTATAAATTTACCCAATATATTAATAGAAAAATAACATAATAATGAGTACAATCAAACCCTGTTATGCCGCCAGTCCCGCTTACCACCAGGTTTTGCAAACGTATGAAAAGCATTACCTGTATAAACATACGGTTTGTCCCCTTAAACTGCCATCTTCCCAAGTCATATGGTCCTTACTAAATTAATGTAAATATGTGCTACAGCACCGACAATGAAATTGGCAGGCAAAGATACACAGTACACATCACTCAAAGTACCCACTCAACAACTGTGCAGGAATAAATAATCTCCTTTCTCCCACACATGACTGTGAGCTAGTACTAGTTGCTCTCTCCCCTCCTACCTCACCTCCCAACTCTCATCTTGCAGATTTCAGACGGAAAGCATTTGAATTTGAAAAGTAGGCCCTAGCCTCCAATCTGGCTGTAATTTTCAATTTGAATTTACATGGTCATGACCTAACGCTTTGGTGTAGCCGTTACTGATTTCTTATTGTTTTTCCTCTGAGCACAGCAACTACGCAAGACAGACCTAGGTACGGCAAAACTGTCCACACTTTGTCTCTACCAGTCTACCCCACCATTTGTCAAGATGGCTGGAAAACGTTCATGCTTGACTGCTCAGAAAAAGTAAGAAGTTTGCAATATTTTAAAACAAAGCCCTCAAAGTCACAACAGCAAATTGCTCTGATGGCAGAATTATTTCCCCTGATGTTTGGCAGTTTTTGCTATTTAAAACTTGTTAATAAATATACCAACAGCCCCATCAAACTGCCAGCTTCATGCTTGTCTAAAGTTTGACGGTATAATAGGGTTTGAGTGTGCATTAATTACCCTCATCTTCATCGTTTTCAGGTGATAGTTCAACCAACTCAAATCCATTCTGAATGCACCATTCAAGTGTTTCCTTCCTACATACAACTGAAATGAAGAAAAAAAAAGTAGTTAACAACAGAACCTGTAAAAAGGTTAGGGAAATATATATTAATACAATTTGATAAATACAAATGCGATCAAAACTAAGTTGAGTAATTTAAACAAACATGCAATCATTTATAGGTCATGGGTACAGTTGCTCCTTTCTACCTAAACATGAGCAGACTGAACTTTATGCCAGGATTACAAATTTACAGTCTGGTAATTAAAACACTCTTTCAAAATAAGTAACTTAAATTTATGAAAGACCTTCTTTCAAAAGTACTAAAAAACAAAATGGTATTGATAATTGTATCATAAATTGCTACAACAAAATTTAGCTGTCCATGCTTCCCTTTCATTAAAAACAAAATGAAGAATTCAGTTGATTTCATGGAAAGACAGACTCTTACCATCTGTATATCTGCTACATTCACAGACCAAGATTTGAATTTCTGGCTCAATATGCTTGAGGTAGGGAAGCCATGCCTTTGCAAGTTCAAAAGAATTAAGCTGTAGAAAAAAGTAGACAAAAAAAAATATGTATAGAGGGAAAACAAAACATTTTTTTTTCAAACACGCGGTGTCAAAGTCATCAGAAGTATGAAACAGAGCACACTCCAGTCCAACTCAAGGCAAAAAGTAAAAGCCCTTTCAACTTTCAAAGCTCTTTGTGGAATAAATTCAGTAGCTACATACAACTAAACTTTAAGTATAATTTTATAAAGCAATGAGATAAGAAAGAAAAGGTAATGAAATGATGCAGCATAGAACAAAAAGTATCCCCCCCCCCTCCCCCCACCAACTTAAAACAAATCACAACATATGTGACACAGTGTGGTGAAATGAGGCGCTCGTCAAAATAATGAAATTTAAAAAAACAGGCGATTTTCTGTTGGTTTGGCAATTTTTAAACATCTTTTATGTCCATTTATAATCACATTATTGTGTGGATTCTACTGAAAAACGTTGATTAAAGGCGCAAAAAAAGTAAAGTTTCAGTTTCCCAGGGCTCTCCAGCTATGGAATTCATCAAACTTTGACAGCAATTTTCTCTTTATTTTTACCCCTGAAACCAGGCAACCCCCACATCCTTCAAAAGCAAATATCTCGACTTCTATTGAATATAGATGGTTACTTTTTTCACTGAAAGCAAGACAAGCAAACACGCTTTAAGATGATACCAATAAATCAATATGCCCAAATATTGACGAGCGCCTGTTTCAATCGCGTCATGACAAGTATGCTTACTGGTAATTTAGTTGACACAGACACACTAGGATACACAATCACGAAATGTATACTTAACAAACACTGTAAAAGCAGACCTATTGTGCACACCATGATATACATCAGGCTCATAAAAAAAGCAATAGACTACCTGGTTAGGGTCAAAGTAGTGGACAAAAGCTTCAACAGATTCTGCAAAATCTTGGTCCCCAATGGTCCTACTGTCAGTGGTACACAAGTGAACACTTGTGCTATAATACTTGTTTTCAAAGGCCCACTCATAGCTCTCAACATTATCTGTGAGAATCTGAGGTGTAGGAAGTACGGCAACATTCAAAATTCCTGGAACAAAAAAGACAGCCAGAAACACAAAATGAGCACGGGAACCGGTATGATTATAATACTATTAAAAATAATTCCTGTCATACCTTCTAAACAGTTGAGTACTGATAGCTTGAACTTAACTGGAACATATCACTGGCTTTAGTTTGTACTGCACTCCAGCCAATCGCAACCGAAGTTCTTAGTTCTCAATCTCACAAAGCCCAACAGACTATTGACAAGACTGGGTGAGAAAAAAGATTTAGTAGGACAAACCAACTTTCTTTTCTAAGCCATGGTTTGAACACTATACACTGACCTTTATCATCTTGGCCCTAAACTAGTCTGAATCATATTGAGAAACTTATGTGTATGATTTAATTCATTTAAAAAGACACAATAAGTGATAAACTCAATCGTGACCTAGTTAACTTCACAACACTAAAACATACACACACTATTAAGACTACTAAAAATAGTAATTAACCTTAGTAATGTTAAAAATGGTTTTTACCTTTAAAAAAACGCCATAAATTTGGTCCTAATAATCATAGAACGAAAATTTGGTACAGTTCGAAAGTATTTTTTAAAGTTGCATCCACGTAATTAGAAAATGTACAAACTGTGGCAAATCTGAAATTTTCATGAGACATTAGAACTAGTCTTGGTCAATAGTGACAATAAAAGGATAGATCTAGACCTCTCCTCTGGTCTATACCATAGAGGCTGGATTTATTATTTGTTCATTTTTATCTGCTTTAAACAAATTTTGACTTTATACCCACTGCAAATCATTAGTTCATGAGCTTATTGAGGCAGCGTGGTGGAATCAGGCTCTCGTCAAAATAATGAAAGTGAAAAAACTTGCATTTTTCTGCAGGTTTGTGAATTTGTATCAAATTTTTGTTTTTCGGTTCAACACCTTTCATGCCAATTTAAAAACTAATTTCTGTGTGGCTTTTTCTGAAAAACGTTGATTAAAGGTACACAAAAAATTTAAATTTTCAGCTACCATGGACTCTTAAGCTAAGGAATTAACGAATCTTTGGTGGCCATTTTCTCACTAATTTTGTCTCTGATAACAGGTGACCCCCACCTCCTTCTTTCGCAAATATCTCGACTTGTATTCATTCAAGATAAATGGATATTTTTTTCATCCAAATAAAGACAAGTGAACAAGCTTTAAGATGATACCAATAACTCTACATGCCCAAAATTTGACGAGAGCCTGATTCCACCACGCTGCCTCACATATAATTAAGGATATTTTTATACAGACTATATTACAAAAGGACTTGGACCAATGCTTGGTGTAGTAATATTTATTAGACTTGTTTTTATGGAAGGAGTTCCGCAGAAGGCCGGCTGACCAACAACACACAAAAGAGGGGATATTTTGAGCGGGGAATACAAAAAAGTTGAGTTCAGTATTTTGGAAAATGTTTGTGGCTTTATTCAGTGGGGTGGGGGGGGTCGGCATTTTTTTTTTTTGCACCCCCCTCCTCTCCTTCCAAAAAGGAAGTCCAATATTCTCAATAGTCGACAGAAAAAGGTAGACTAATGGCGGATTCCACACGACTCGAATTTGTCCTGAACTGGAGCAGTCAAATGTGTCAAGATGCAGTGGAATCAGGCACTTGTCAATATAGCGGGACTTTTGGTTCCAGAAGAAAAATTCCGCTGTAGGCAAGTTCCCGCAGTAGGAATGCAAAGGGGAAATTACCGGAAAAATTTTTTTAATCCACATGATTAGCTCCTTTCCATATTGATACAATAAAATTTGCGCTTTAGATTAGTCTTCCTTTTCTTGTCAACTTCGTTGATTAGCTCAGTCTTTAATTCAAGTGAGAAGCATTTCTTTGTCTCTGTTTGAAGCCATCTTTTCCTTGGTCTTGTTGCTTTTGTGCAGTCTATCGTATCGGCAGGCCAACTGTAGAACTGGTGAAGTGGACGGGGGCATATATATGCCTGAGCATCAACGATCCCAATTCAATGAATCAGGAATTACACACTAGATCTATACACGCTCTCCTCTTCCTTTACTTTTTGGCCTAGCCCACGCCTAGGGATGGCCAGGAAGGACTTCCGTAACGAGCGACCACCCCATCAAACACAATAAAGAAGAGGCCTAGACCTAACCCTAACCCTACCCAACCCCTAACCTTACCCCTACCCCGACCCCAAGCTCTCAATTCTGCTCTGTCTCATAGTGGTCACTTGTTACGGAAGTCCTCCCGATGGCCTATACAGTACACGCTCTCATACTGAGTGTCTTGGCTAAGACTATGGCACATCACTTTTATAGTAGCTTACGTAACGAGTCTCTCTACATCATCTCTCTCCGCAGCCTGCCCCACCTCACTCATCACTGGATTGGCCAATCACAACGCCCCACCGCAGACTGCCTGTTTGGACCCCACCTACAGCCCCGCAACCCCCTTCCCCCCAGCAATTTAGCTCGCTCGATGTCTCCAGCGTATCTAAGTTTGTGCCTTTCCTTGCCCCATTAAACCCGAGCACAGGTAATTGAGTTTACAAAGAAATGAAAAGGGGGATTTGCAAAGGTTTTACTGTAGACCTAAGTTTTAGTGGTCATTTGTGTGTTCTGTGAGTGTGAGCAAAAACTGAGGCAGTTTAGCCGTCAAAACAATGCATCTGCGGGCGGATCTAGATCTATAGAATTTAGATCTAGATCTAGATCTAGATTAGATAGTAGAATCTAGCTCTACCATCGTGATCAGCCGGCATCGCACACACAGTTGAGTCAGTTGACATACAAAGTCCTAACACTAAACACTACTACAGACTACACTACAGTACTACAACTACAGTAACAACAGACTCAGACACTGATGACTGATCTGATGCACTTAGACCTGGGTCTAACAGAATACCTTAAAGATCTATCTTTAAAGTAAACAGCGAGTTCTTGCAATAACATTTCGAAAACATACACAAAATAGAAGATTTAAACTTACTTTTCACAAATTCTTTCGGATCGTAATCAGCCACTGAGGAAGAAAACAAAACACAGGGCAGCGCCATATTGGATTTGACTGCTAACTACGTCATCAAATTTTGATGTGTACATTGTTGCTGAGGAACCTGATGGCGGCCTCCCTGCGGAGGCTACACATTTAAAACTTTCTTGGTCTTCAGTGGTTGTGATACCCCTACAGTTGATGTAGATATAATATCAGTTGCAAAATAGTGGGGACAAAATGACGGAAATTGAACCTCGTCCTGAGGATGTGGGACAGATCCTCGTTAAGGTGGGGCTTTCGTAAAGTGTGTGTGAACTGTAACTGTAGTAGTAAGTAGTGTAAAGTGAAAGCCGAAAAGGGCGACTCCATCCGAACAGAAAATAGATCTAGAATCTAGAATCTAAATAACAAGACCTGCCGGTGTGGATTTCATATACTATCAGAACTGTCAGTAATATCCAGTTGAACTTTTAATTTGTAACTAGATGTAGATCTAGATCTAAACAACTGATGTAACTAGTTTCACAACTTTGTCGACTTTGATTTCAGGCCCTACCTTTGCTTGCTATGATGCAGGAACCCTTTCCGCAGTAGGCCTGGAAGTTCAAAGAGAGAGACAGAGAGATTAAAGAGAGAGACAGAGAGGGAGAGAGATTAAAGAGAGAGAGAGACAGGCAGAGCCTTTCGAGCGGGCTGATAATTCCATCTGGTCCATTAAAAAACATGCATGCGTTCCTGGGGACACACATATCGTACGTGCATGCGTGTAGTTATATTATTGTAGTAACAACTCGGTCCGTCCCGATAGCACAGTCAAAGGGTCATGGTGGGGTCACTAGAGACGGTAGCTCAAGCGGTTCCCTAGTATACCAGATAAAAAAATAGCAATGCCCACCGAGCGCGTTTTGTTCTGCCGATTTTTGGCCCCCGTTTCGTGGGACGCACTAACGCAAAGGTTGTTGTCTTCAACCCGCTCTCACGCCGCTTCTCGTGAATGAATATGAATGAAACTTGGCAGCCAATCAGAAAAGAGGTCAATCTTGTAGTATGCAGTTTGACAACTTTGTACCCATCCAAGAAGTAGTCGAAAACGTTAGCGAAAGTGGTTGATGTGGTGCGCTTTGAAGATTTTTCAGAGCTGTGATTTGTCAAACTGACTGATACGTTGTACACCATTTTTCTTTATTCCCTTAAAATTTCATGCTTCTGTGTTTAGCGGTTTTTGCGTAATATTTAAAAATGTGGGAGTAACTAAGGGAAAAAGCGACATTGCCATTTGCGCGTGCTTGGTGAATGACCGGCGGCTGGGAAATTTCCACTGAGTGACGTCATCAGCCATCGGTCGCCTTGGGCGCTACAATCGAGGCCACGCTTATGTGAACCGGAGAGGAGGGGGAAGGACACTTGAAAACTAAACGGGGGCCTTGATAATTTGCGTTTTTGTAGCATTTTAGTCACAATACAATAGATGTAGTCATTTTTATTTGCTTGATTGCATGACAGAAGAATAGAAACAGAAAAGCAAACATCTTGAGAAGTGGTATGGCATTTTTGTTTGCGTTATGAAAGCCTATTCCCCCCTCTTGGGAAAGCACACACTTGGACTCGTCCTGTGTGCTCTGTTTGGAAAAGTGAGGCATTAAGATTGTTATTAGAGAGTATGGTACTTATTTAGTCCAGTCTGGGAAGATAATCCCGTCTATACATTGTTATCATTCACGCGTGCGTGCGTGAGTGCGTGCGCATGCATGTGTGTGTGTATATGTGTGTGTGCGTGAGAGAGAGAGAGAGAGAGAGAGAGATCGAGAGAGGGGTGGGGGGGGGGGGGTTGTAAATAATGTTACATTTATTGTATGAGTTGTAGCCTACACATGCGAAATATTCCCATGACTTGTAAACTATATTATCTGAACGTATCTTAATCTACCACACAATAGGACACTGTCCAACAATATACACTGAGACGATCTTATTTTCTATAACAAAGTATGCATGCTTTTACTAGTACAGAACTGGATTTGTTAGACTAATAAATCCAGCTCTCTACTTACATTTTTGTGACAAATTGATCCAGAGCATTGCTTGACAAGGAGGAACCTTTTATGTTGCAAAGTTTCATTCAAATATCATGACTTTGGGAGAACGTATGATATGACTGATTTATCTTTGTAAATCTGTAAAGAACGCCACTTTTTTACCTGTTAATGTCTTTAAACTCAAAAAGTATTAAAGATATTAAAAATCTGACAGCATGACTAGATTTTGCATTAAAAAATGTACTAGACTGCCAAGTTTCATTTACATATTCTAAGAAATAGGCGAGCTATGACAAATATTGTCTCAAAACGCACCGAAAACCGCCACATTTTTACCTATAAACATCTTCATATCTCAAAAAGTAGGATAGCTATGAAAAATCTGAAAGCAGGACTAGATTCTGCACTAGAAAATGTACTGGGTTGCCAAGTTTCTTTTAAATACTCCGAGAAATGAGCGAGTTAAGACAAATATTGTCTCAAAACTCACCAAAGAACGTCCCATATTTTGGGGGTTTTTCATTAAAAGTGTACCAAAAATTAATTTATCAAAAAATTAGTAACTTTTTTGTTTATTGATGGATTTCAAAAATTCAAAAAGTTCCATGCTCTGTGAAGATACAGCTACAAAATGCACCTATTTGCAAACACTTTCTGGCAAAAAAAGGGTTTTTCGTGGTCATTGCTAAAAAAAGGTGCAGCTTAAAAATTACCCCTATAGTATACATGAAAATTAGGTGATCTTGTAGTTCCGTTCGTTAAAGTCCACAATCCATTTGTTTACATCCAGAGAAGAAATCCTGAAGTCTTGATGACCAAATAGGCAACACAAAAAACAGGGATGTAACCTTTACAAACCATCAAATTATGGTAAAATTCAGGCCCCCCTTAAACCCCCCTCCATATTTTGATTAGGTCAAAAAATGCCCCTGAACCCCCCCCCCCCGCCCCCCCCCCCCCACTCTTGCCTCATGGGACCTAAACGGGCGAATAATAATTGGGAGGTGGACTGCCGATAAAGCGCCATTCTTTGCTTGAATTAATTTTTCTGGCTTTACTCTAGTGTTTCCTTCCTGTCTGACGCTTAGTTCACTCCTCAACAATTACCTGGCAATTCAGGATCTCTGGCATTCAGCTTTGGACGTTTAATTAACAAAACTACAAAATCACCGAAAATTACTGTATGTTGAAGGCTTCAGATTCAATTTCAGATTCATACTATAATTAAATCACTCTTCGGGGTAGTCCAGGGCACAAAGTTACCCGACCTTTTGCAACTTTTGCAGCGTAATCTTTTCTCTATAATTTGCATGCCTAAGAACCCATTCTGAAATAAAAATCCACAAGAACCGGGTTTCAGCTGAGGGCAATAAATATTTCCACATCATCTCTTTCATAAATGCAGACAGACAAATGTCCCGCGCTTTCATATGTGACCTCATGCAGTTGCGAGCGGCGAGCACCGTACATGGCGTCACTTTTCGCCCGATTCTGTTACCTTTAGTTAGCGTGACTCAGCAGCCCGACGGAGCTCCCCGGCTCAGGGTTACGGGGTTAATGATGTTATGTTGAAGGGGCTAGCGCAATAAGAAAAACACATGCGACATCCATGAACGGGTATTCTGAGACTTTCTTTGTTTAATTGACCTACATTGCATAACACACAGGCGGGTAACACCGACTTGAAATACTAATACCGTACTTGGTGGGATAACCGTATCTAGGACACTACATCCCTCCTAGCCTTGAATGGTTACTTCGTTTAAAATCATCTTTTCCTTAGTGTGGAAGAACTGATGTACAGCAACTTCTTTAGCTATTTATTTAGTAGTTGATTGAAGGGGATGGACATCAAAGAGGCAAAATAAAACGTTTGTTAGTCGATGAACATAGAGTGGGTTTTTGTTGTTGTTGTTGGTTTTTTTTTAATATTAGTTTTAACTTTAACAAGAGGTAGATGTACATGTGATGAAAAATAATAAAGGAACATCACGATAACGAATTTCAGCGAGCTCTTGATCTTATGCTAATTTAGGTGTATAGTTCTTGATTATTTTACTTACGATGAGATTGACAACAAAAAAACATCTAGACGGCTAGTCTGAAATTAAAAGTGAATAACTTAATAGAGTGAACGTGGAACGGATACATAATATACACCAAGATTTCTCTGCTTACACTACAGATACGAAACTGTGCGAAGAATCAGAGTACACTGGACACGAGACAAAACAGAATGCACTGAGTTAATGAGTAGAAAATTTGTTTGACACGATTACAATGTTCATGTTTCAATTTCAGCTTGACGAATGTTCATTTGAGTAAGTCACATAGTCTTTTAGGTATCCAGGACGCTTACGGTGACGTTGGGGACGTTCAGTCGCGATTGGTTCATTGGTAGTAGTTGGGTTTTGATTGTCTGCTGTTTCATTCGAAGCTTCATTGTCCTCATCCTCCTCTTCTTCCTCTGTTGAGTTTGTAGGGTTGGATGATTTCAGAGTATCAGGCACTCTTTTGAAGAATGAAGTGTTTCTAGTCATGTTTTTGCCATTGCGACTGGCGGTGACCATTGGACCTTTCTTAGAGGTTACTTGGTATGGATCATGGTCATAGAACGATGACAGTTTGTTTTTGTAGGGTTGACGAGCGAGGACAGTGTCTCCTACTTGTATGTCGGAATTTCGGGCATGTCGACGATCGTCAGCGTACCGTTTTGCTGCTTCCTTTTTGTTGGTGTCATGTTGACGAATGTCATTGTCAGTCGTTGGTGGTTTCATGAGTGAATCTATCTGAGGTAGTTTCACTCTGATGTTGTGTTTGAACAGAGCTTCTGCTGGGCTCACACCAGTGCTGATGTGGGGGGTAGCTTGGTAATTCCTCAAAAAGTGATATAGTTCTTGTTTCCATGGCTTGCCTTCAATGTGTGCAGACTGCACTGTTTTCTTGAGCATTCGCATGCATCTTTCAACACCACCATTGGCTTGGGGCCAGAGAGGAGTTATTCTGCGGTGTTTACATCCTAGCTGCGAAGCAAACTGTTTGAATTCGTAGCTGGAGAAGGGTGGACCATTGCCAGACTTGACGGTGTGTGGGACACCATGACAAGCGAAGATGGAGTCAAGTTTTGGGATTGTGGCTCTTGCACTGGTAGATGACAGGATTTCTACTTCTGGAAAGCGTGAGTAGTCATCTATGACAACTAGTAGATAGTCACCAGAAGGGAATGGTCCACAGAAGTCGATACTAACTTCA